GATAAAACAACTCTTGAAATAGAAATACAGATAGTATATACTATTAAAACGTTTACAAAAAATTATATTTTATTTTTAATTTTTAGTTTTTGATTCAATTATACATAGTACCACTATTTTCATCAAATGTATGGTCAATGCTTTTATTACACCGCTTTTTGTCGAATATTTGCTTTTTTGTCTGACGTTGTGTTTTGTTGACGTTGCGTTTTGTACGACATTGCGTAAAGTCCATTATTGCTTTTTGCTTGAATAAATTAGCTTTTTGTCCTAAACTGTATATTCCCCCTTTGCTAAAACACCAGTTGTATAGACGTTGCAACCGCGATATGACGTCACTGAGACCGCAAAAAACTACGATCGCAAAGACATTGGAAAGATCTCTGCGACGTCTTGACAAAACCAGGTTACCAGAAACAATGCATTAACTCATGGTCCGCTGGAAAAATGTCTTCCGTGGCTAAAAACATGTCAGGATTTGACACTAAAAATGCGAACATCTAATTTTAGGTTAGTCCGTCTTATTCAAAAATCAAGGAAGGTCGTTTGAGAGCAAAAGTTACCTTAACCATTGACATATTGACCTCAGAGTTTTAATCTGGATACCCTTTTTCCACCAAAACATCCGTGTTTTAGTAACAGTGACCTAGATCTGTGACTTATTGCCCAAATATCAATAGGCTTCTTTCCATTCCATGTATTTTTCATCTCGGTAAGTTTCATTCAAATTTAGCAATGGATATTCAAGTTGTCTTCCGAAAACCATTTGTTTCGGACACATGACGGACAGACGGACAGACGGATGGATGGAATGACGGACTCACAATGCGATTATTGTATTTTCCTGAAATTTTGTCGAGGAAAATAAGAATTGATAAGCTAGAGACCACTTTGAGTGATGAGATGATACATTTTTGTCCTTAACAACAACTGTATTGTGTACGTACGTTTCGGTAATCAAGTTAAACATTTTAAGTAATATTCCAATGGGTACGGATTGCGTCACTTTGATAACATTTTTTTTACGGTATTGTTATAAATCACCTGTTTTTGCCAAGCCCTTTAAAGATCCGTCTTGATCTATTTGATAGGTAACAAAATATAACACGGTCACTTAATTATGTGTATGGTTTAAGTAACCAAAAATGCTTTAATTTTACAGCTGACATTTGTCTCCAGGAAACACACTTTAAAAACAAAAGATATAAATGAAGAACAATATTTGTCCTTTTCTTAGTTTCAATATTTCAGTTTCACAGATAAAACTGCATGCAATGTTTACTAAAAAGAGACGGGTTTTCTTTCCCTATTGTTTATTTTCAATTTGAAAACGATGTTATGCCGTTGGTCCCTCCTTATGATGCCTTTTTTCCCCCACTGGTTCGTTTTGCTTTATAGCTTACAGGAAAATAAAGCTTCTTGCTTCTACAGAAACTGTCGGTGTTGGAAAAAAATTGAAAACAACACGTTTAATAATTTCATGCGTCCGAAGCGTTTTCTGGATTTACCTTAATCAGGAACGCTCAAAGCCAAACATTTGAAATCCGAAATTTGACATCTTCCTAGTTTTGAATTTCAATCTTTTATTCGAAAGACTTAAAATACTTGTACGTTAGAATAAAAAAATAAAACAAAACTAATACGTCCTGTGTATAGGTTTAATGCATACGCACTTGTCTCAGATTTTTTAACCTAGACGTTATATAAAGATGTAGGGGTTAGATATAATAAGAGACACGCTCCTGTGGCTTAACGCAACAAACCAGTTTGTCTCATGTAGTAGTAGTTGTAGTAGTTGTTTTCCTTTTGACTACAGTATTCTAATAAAAGACTCAATTTCGGTAACGGAAAAATGGGCTATTCTTAAATCAAAATTTCTGATGGTGGGGTCTTTTATAGCTGACTATACGGTATTGGGTTTTTTCGTTGAATGAAATGCTCTTGTGCGCAAAGGTCGTTTCAACCAAAAGAAGATCCGTTGTTTTGATCTGATCAAGAAAAATGGTAAAAAACCAATATCATACTTTCCTTGTCAAACCATAATTGTAAAAATTGTTTGAAGTTTATATTTGTTTCAAGAAAAATATATTAAATCTTCTTAAAAAGTGCAATTTATAAAAAAAAAGTCGTGAACACCGAAATAATCAAAAATCTATTTCTAGTAAGATACAAACAACTAAAATTAAAATACAAACTCCAAGTACACAATTAATTAGGTGCATAGAATGTTAATTTTAAAATATGTTTTCACTGATGGAACTAAAAAAAAAAAAATAAGGAAATACGAAAAGATTTGAAACGTTGAAAAGCATTGATCACAGAATAAGAACACCAGGATGCTCTAATAAGAGAATGACACACTTTCATAAATTGATAGACAACCTGCGAATCAATATAAATCACATAAATATGTATAAAACATAAAGTTATAAAGTGTAACTTTCATTTGGTGAAAATATTCACGCCGTGCAAACAGAATAATTTTTTGAGCTAATGTTTTGACAAGTATATAATTGCTTCATCTCTGTTTCGAAAGTTGATTAATTAATTTTCATGTCATGTTCATTGCAATATTGGAAATCACTGCAAATTCGTGAAAACAAAACAAGCACGTTTTTAGAAAAAGTCAACGAAACATCAGCATCATTGGGAGAAGAATTGGCAAAGAATTTGCCATGATAAAGGTTTCCAAAATTTTGAGGGAGAAGCAAACTTGAAAACATACAAGTTTCAGTTCTTCCATGCTTTAGAAGTGTTTACATATCACCAATACCTTTGATCAAAAGAAAATAAATGATAGTTTCAATGTATTGTAACTGATTGATTTATTGTTGGTTGCTTAAAGTCCAGTGTATTGTAACTGTTGCCAGAGTCCATCAGAAGTTCAGTTGAATTTTTTTTCATTAAATCATGATAGATCAGATCTGCACTTAGTGTCTTTCTGTTGTCGGGATGTATAAGTTCCATGCCACTAATACTCTGTGTTTTTGTTAAGTGTATTTCTGCTTACGATCGATCTGATGAGTTAAGCCCTTTTCAACTGATTTTCATACATGTAGTTTGGTCTTATGTTGTACTGTTACAACACTGTCCTAGGTTAGGGGAGGGTTGGCGCTTTCAAACTAGTTTAACCCCGCCACATTATGTATGTGTCTGTCCCAAGTCAGGAGCCTGTTATTCAGTGGTTGTCGATTGTTGATGTATATCATATTTGTTTTTCGTTCATTATTTAGTACATAAATAGGCTGTTACTTTGCTCGTTTGAATTGTTTTACATTTTTCATTTCGGGGCCTTTTATAGCTGACTATGCGGTATTGGTTTTACTCATTTTTGAAGGCCGTACGGTGACCTATAGTTGTTAATATTCTGTGTCTTTTGGTCTCTTGCTGAGAGTTGTGTCGTTGGCAATCATACCACATCTTCATATTTTTATAAAAAAAGAATCGTTGTTTTAAAGGCAGTACCAAATAGATGGTGCTTGAAATATGCAAACTACAGGACAACTACATCCAAATAATCCCGTAGGCATACAACATAGATGTCTGAATCGGTATCTTTTATGACCAGTTCGTTGCGAAGTTTCGCGACACTGACGTCTTAATTTCCATTAGACTATAGAATAGCAATATGATTTTATTAAATGACCGTTTATGATTGTTTTTTCTTAAACAGTGTATATATTTTGAAAAGATGAAATCATCATATTTGTAGTCGTCGAATTCTGTCAATATCAAGAAAAGATTACGATATGAGATCGACCTTCTAGTTTTTGGTAATTTGTCAGGCAGAGTTGGCCTTAGATGGATTTGGCTATTTTTAGTTCCTTTTTAGTTATATAGCTCCTCCTCAACTGTTTCGGTTTAATCCAGCCATGGATTTCAAATAATCCGTTTTGAGCGTTCCTGATGAAGGTAAATCCAGAAAAACGCTTTGGACGCATGAAATTTATAACGTGTTGTTTTCATTTTTTTATTTTCGAGTTATGAGTTTGAATATCCCTTTGGTATCTTTCGGCTCTCTTTTTATAAATGAAAACGATTGTTTGCTGTACTCGGCGATTGAAACTATACTTCAGTTTGGTCAATATCCCTTACGCGGCTCAATTACAAAAGACAGTACAAGCAAGATGTAAAACCTTAGAGTTATTACTTGTTTGTAAAAAACTAAATGTCTAGAAATTTAAACGTGAAAATAGGAACTTTTTTCTTGCTGAAGTTGCATCAAATGGGGACGTCTTTAGGTATTTCCAAATTTGAGAAAAATTTAAAGAAACTTCGTATCCCGAAATTGTGTTACCAGTTTTTTAGTTAAGCCAATTACAACTGGATTTTACAGTTTTTTCTTATGTTGTGGTGGAGGGTTGGGCGCTCACAAACATGTTAAATCCCGCCATATTCTTTATGTGCCCGTTTCAAGTCAGGAGCCTGTAGTACAGTGGTTGTCGTAAGTGCATGTCTGTCATATTTGTTTTTCGTAATTTGTTTCATTGTAAATAAGCTGACCATACGGTAAAGGTGTTTCTTATAGTTTAAGGCTGTACGGTGGCCTATAATTACTTACTTCCACGTTTAGTCTGGTGGATAGTTGTCTCGTTGGCAATCATACAACATCTTAGAATTTGTTTATGAGCATCGAAACTAGCCATCGTACATATCCATGTCTATATTATGGACGGAGGAATGGAAAATAGGGTATTGCCATCGGAGCCTATCTAAACTGAATTGCGCAATAGATTGATCCAGTTACTTGATCATATGCGTTATTTAACGAAATGAAGCAAGGCCCATTTTGTTCTTTTAAGATAGTGAATCAAATTTTCAGAATTATATTTTTTTTGTTTTTTTTATTATAAATATTCAATTAATTTAACATATTCGTGGTAACTTTTTTTTTCAAATTTCTAGAAAGGCTTTAAATGTTTCATTTGTATATTGTTCAACGCTGTCTGCAAACCAACCAATAACAACGATAACGATGAATAATAACTACAAACAAAAAGTAAGTAAGTGGAACCATACATTAAGCTGTATTTATTTATTGATCATTCATATCAATGTTGATATCTTTCATATATCTGTACTATAAGTTTTAGTCTTTGTTTCAATAATATTTTCGTCCATATCGACCTTTATTTTAGCCTTTTTTCATCCTTTATTCCAGCCTTTCTTGCCTGGATATCCATTGTATTTATTATATTTGTTGTAGCCTTTGTTATGTTTGTAATATCGCCTTGGATAACCATATTTGGGATAATAATTCTGATATATATAAAAAAATAAACAATTAAAGTAAAAATCAATTAAAACTTGAAATGTTATAAATTTCTTACAGAAGCAACAATATAGCCTATCTTAGCTTCCTTGAGGCTTGTATAAGCAATTACAAATCTGAAGTGCAATCGATATAATAGTGATAAATTTTTTTTGGTAGAAAATTTTTATACACTTACATTTTGTTTCAATCTTATATCTTTTGATTCTTATCAATATTGTAATATAAATTAAGGCGATAGTAGTTAACCGATTTTCAAATCTCGTTAATCGGTTAATATGAGACAAATCAAGGAATAAAACAAAAACTGACAAAATCACATGAACTCCAAAAGGGTGCGTCGACAAGTTAAGCGTCTCCTACTATACATGCTTCAGCCGCTATGTAAATTTAGTCTTATTCAAAATGTCACAATCGGGAGTAGGACACAATCGGTAAAACTACAGATCAGACTCCTTTACAGATCAGACTCCTTTACAAGTATCTGAAGAACTAAGACCGCGAGAGCATGTCGTTATTGAGTTGAGACACCAACACGGTCCAAAACCTGTGTAGCGTCAATATCAATCCTTTTTCCTCATAACTCTGTTTGAGCAGCTTTTGTGTAAGAAGCACACTGTTGTTAAAGAAGTCTGTATGCACATGCACAAGCGTAACTTATTAACTGGGATATGTAAACGCCATACGATTCAGCAAATGGTATTTAACTGCTAAGAAAGTGGAAGTTGACAATTTGTGTGTTAAAATCATCACGTTTGTCATAGATTTTAGTTTGAAGTCGTCCATCTTTGTCAATCGAAGAAACGACCAAGATATGAAGCAGACCTTCTACTTTTGGTTTGATAGTATCCTTAATCGCAAGTTATGTGGGATATATGAGATGTAAGCACTTATTGAAGTGATGGTTATTGAGTGACAGATTATCATCAATATAGAAAAGAATTTAAAAAATTAAAATTGTCTACGGGGCTTGTCTTGGGAGAATGTAAGTTTTTTTTTCATTTTGGGAAGTAATGGTCAGCATGTCATCTCGATATCAGGGTCATGATTATCAATGAATCCATGAGGATAAAATGCATCCTATCTTACATATGGGGCCAGATGTCCCGGCAATCTCGCGATTGTACTGAATGCTACGGAACGTCATTTTTTGTTTCGTCAAGAAATATGAAAATTTTAAATGTGCACAAAAGAATTTCGTTGAAAACAGATAGAAAGCGGTGTTAGATGATGGTGATGATGGATGGCTGCTTAACGTCAAGCGGCAAATTAATATGCATATTCAGGACGAGAACATATTAATTTAATATGAATATTAACCCTGCTTTATACTAGACCAATATGCTGAGTCGGATTTTTAACGTGATATTTCACAAAGTAACAGTCCGCAGGAAGACATATCACCTAAGCCGAACACATTATTCCGACTCCGAGCCAACCAGTCTTTCTCTTACTTCTTAATACCGCGTGCTTAGCAGAGAAGCAGTAAATACAAATTTTAAAGTCTTTCGTTTGACCTGGTTGGGGTTCGAACCAACGACCTCCGCACTCGAGGCGAACACGCTACCACGAGATCTGCAAAGCGGTAGCGGTGTTAGAAAAGATGATTTTTAAGTGTTGGAAGGAAAAGACATAGTAACCATTATATAAATTGCTAAGAAGGTAAACACTCCCACAATGATGGTATCACAGTATCCTTATGTTTACATCAAAAAATGTTTAAGTGGCAAAATAAATTAATACCTTCTTCTCTCAAAAGTGAGAGTTTCTAAATTTAAATATATATCAAGAGAAATATCTTTTTGTGTTTTTGGTTTGTAGTTTCATTTACATTTAACTCATATCTTGCTTTATCATATGCAGACTGCAACATATACATAATTATACACAAAATGTGATGTTGCGTTAGTACTGAATTAGGATACAGTTACAGTTACAGTTACAGTTACAGTTACTGCATCCTGACATTTTAGGCAATCGCAGACGTGTTGTGAAAATATGACATACCGAAGTTAGAACAGACTTATGAAATTTAAAATTTAAACTAAGCTCCGCTTCAGTATATGATGTTGATTTATTTCAAGTGACATTAAATTGAGTTGAAATTCATATCAATAGATTCATACTTTATAATAACTAATCCCCATAAATTATAACGCCAAAAATAACTTACAAGGGACAAAATTTCCGTTGGTTATAAAATGATTAAAAGTCAGAGAAATAAATAATGCTTTACGTACCACTGTTAACTCTTCGTGTGTCAGAAGAATATTTTCACCACTGGTTTAAAATCTCAACCAGTGGACAAAATAATCCGTCAAGATTCTTTCAGCTCGGTAACTTACCAGTATGCCTTTGAATACCGATAAAATATTGGTGTTTTTTTTTATAACAATCGGGTTGGATATCTCCTGGTGTACACACTTGTCCCAGTGATTCTACTGGACAGTAACTTAATACTAGCATTTAAAATTATTCTACCAGTTCTGTATATTACAATGTAAGCTATATGTGCCTCTCTTCTAAACGGAAATATCTAAAGTGATATGTTGTATTCCACCAATATGATGTTTTGTCTTCCGAGTTCTTTTCATATCTGTTCTGCGAAATATGAAAAGTTTTGATATCAAATTCTTTAGTGGTGAAGTGTTTTCCTTTCTAAAATGTATCAAGCCTTTGTATTACGACGAGAAGATGGAATTGACTGTAATAGTAGAGAAAGTAATTATAAGTATACGAGAGCAATACAGTTGCAAATATAATTCTTCTTGCTTGAAACTGGAATTAACCCTTTTACATTGCATATTTATTGATAAAGTAGTTTCATTCAAGTTCATAACATATTTAACATTGCATTATTGGCTGTGAAATGAAACCATTCTAGCGTGAGTTGTGAACGATCACCTTGTAGAAATACAATCAAACAACGGAATTAACTTAAGATGTTTTTTTTTCTTTAAATAAAAGTAAAACTATAATCATGTTGTAAACCTACGTCTCTATATTTATGTTGTAAAACATCGTCTTACGATGAAAAGTCAAACGAGGACTTACATGCATTGTGCATGTTTTACATTATAATCCTGTTGTTAATTTTTGCGTGCAATTACCATCTGTTTCCTAATGCAATATAAAAACAGAACAATTCAGTTAAAGCTCATAGTTTTAGCCAACATGAAACTTAGTTGTGTAGTCTTGGTGCTCTTTCTTGTAACTTTAGCAGCTTGTATCGGTAATTTTATATTTCCATAACACTGTTTTATTATATGATATATAACGGACATAAATGAAAAACTATCTTCGATGATTACCAATTTAGATTTTTGTTTTCTTAATCAGCAACAGCAATGCTATTATCAAAAAAATGTAAATGCAATCTTTTTAATATATTTGTTCATTAGAACATATTTCAGGTTTTCAACGTCGAGTTGAACTATTTCAGCTATATTCCGAACTACCAGCACGAAGGGACAGTTACTACAACTCGGAATACCTAATGACTCTTTGAATATTTATCTCACACTTATTTCCTTGATAAGAAAAAAGTGAAAAGTTCTTTTTCGGTAAATTTGAGGTAGGAATATATGTTGTTCTTTACAAAACCGATAAAGCGTTACATTCGATAACGGTCACATCCGTTACAAAACTTTAGACATTGAGGGAAATATGTGAACTATCATTTGTGACACACTTACTATGAAACAATGAAATATGATGGTGACCGTAATATGTCATATGTTAGGTATTAACGCACGAGATTTATTCTAGTGAGCAGACCAGATGGTTCTCGAATTGACTTAATCAAATATTCCTGGACCAAATATTTTGTTAAAAATAAAAGAAAAGTGAGATTTTAGATGATCGAAACAAACAGGGTTAAGAAATACAACAGTAAAAACCGTTGTCGTCAATTTTGATTTGGCGAGTTTAAACTTAGAATTTGTACAACACATAGTAAATGGACTATAACTTTTCATTTTATTTATCATGAGAGTATTATATCGCTTCATATGACTAAAATATTCTGAACTGTGACATTGATTTGTCTCAATTTTACATGTCACTATAGCGGACAAATACATGCAAACCAACTATGGAGGTGGAAGCAAAACACTATTTGGTCACGCCATAGTTCCGTGTTCAGTTTCTAGATCGTTAGACTAGAAGCGACTATTATTTCAAATCATGTACAATTCTTTATACTTTGATTTTTTATATTACTTACATATAAGTTTTTTTTTTGCCTACATTAAAATGAAAGATTTTTTTCTTATCGGATTAAAAGCAAATGGAAATTATCATTTTTTTTAAATGAAATCCAATACTCATTTTGACATTAGAATTATATTTTGTGTGTAAAGTGTTTGTGACTCGACATTTCCCACTTTTCCACAACAAGAAAAAAAATAAAATAATTAAGCGGAAATTTTCCATTATTTTAATTTTTTTTATCGAGAAACAAACTTCTTTGAATGTATTAAAGGCAGATGTCGGTGGAAATGTTAGTTTTTATATTGAAAAGGCAGTAATGATGACTTAAATTCATAATAATTAACCAATTTTAAACCAACATAATTATAAAGAAATAAATAACACACACTTAATAATGAAATAATATAAGGTACAAATCGTCTATAATTTTTGCATATCAAATATGTAGTGAATCAAATAATGAGTGATACATTTGTATGAACTTTAATTATTTATTTGATTTTGCCTTCAAAGAAAGGCGGAAGATACCAAAGAGATATTCAAAGTAGAAAAACTTATAAATTGAAAACAAACTGACTACCCCATCGTTAAAAACGAAAAACCACCAAAAAACCATCAAAAGTCCACAAAACACAACATAAAAAATTAAAGACTGCGCATTAAAAAAAAAACGTAAAAACCTAAGGTTGATCTCAGGTGATCCGGAAGTGCATACCGATCCTGTTCCACATGTGACATCCGTCATGTTGGTCATGTAAGTAAGTCTTATTCGGTAGATCACATTCGAGGAAAAGAGGACGGAATTGTAGTTACGACAATCGGATCATATCCAATGTTATCTTTGAAACAGATTTTCTATAATGGCCGACCAAATCGTGATGGAATCCTTAAATGTTCGAAAGGATTATTTGAACGTTACCACTTGGAACATTTGGTTTAATAGCTCTTTCGTAAGCAGCAACATCTATAAAGAAATTCATGATAGCAAATACCAGCTCTGGAATATCGTTTCAACTTGGAGATATTTACTCCATCTGCAATCGCTGCTGACATTTTGATACATAGAAATGGAAAGTTCACAATTGGGAAGATGAAATTGTATTAATTTTAGTGCCACTGATGAGTCTTAAGAGACAAATTGCCCATCAGGCATTGCAATTTATAAGCCTGGTTTCTTTGATGATTTTACTAGGAAAGGATAACACACTATCAACGCACTCTAACACTGGTAAAGAGCTAATTGCAGGATAAGATTATTCACACTCCCATGTGTGTCTGTTTGTTTTTACGTCTATAATGTCAAAAGATGCTGGTATACATCAATCTTATTGATCATGAGCAAATAGATGTTGTTATTATAGCTGACTTTTAAAGGCCATCTGATTGCAATACATGACATGTGTACAAGGTTCTGACACGGCTTTGTTTTCATACCGTTTCGAAGACCTTTTCGGATTATACTTTTATTTAATGATACACACCTTCGAGTCAATATCATTAGAAGAGAACGTATAACGGATATATTTAAATCAGATTTTATTTCAAAAAATGTAATTCATAAAGTTGCTGTTGCTGATTTTTTTACATCAACGTCGAAAGGCTATTGCACTGCAGTAACTGATGGAAAAACACTTGTTGTTCAAATTCTTTTCCATCAAAAGCCGAATTGAAAAATAGAAATGATAACAATGAAAATATAGGAATTTTATATTCCGTTGTATTAATCTTTGAAAATGGATGAATAGTTATATCACGTTTTCCTTATCAGATCATACAGATTGTTTACAATTGACTTTTGTTTCAGTAAATGTATACACAGTCTTCTAACAAAGTAAAAATACTGATTAAATTATGAACTCATATATGGAAATTGCCGAATGATTTTTGAAATTCTTTATGTATATTGTAGATGTAGGCTCAGGATATGATGTAAGTATATTTTATGATTATTTTATTATATAACAGAATAATTCATACTGTCAAGATTGTGCTCACAAAAGCATGTTTGCAGAAAATGGCAGCAGCAAACGAAAGGACGTAGTTTTGACTTTTGAAATAATTCACTATATTTCCAACGATTCCGAACTTTTATCAAAGAAAACAATTTAGCCAGACTATTGGATAATCATTATAGAAACAACATACTATTCAAACCAAGCAATGAACAAATCACGAAAGGCATGTTATCGTGTATAAAGTAAAGGCATCAACGCCGCTTATGAAATAGAAAATTTATGTAAATAAACGAAAGACCTGTATGTCACAAAATATTTTAAGTTAACTGTAGTTTGGCTTACTATATTCTCCATTTATGAAATAATCTAAAGCTTGATAATTTAATCTTATTAGATAAAGAAATATCAATAGCATGATTAAAGTAATACTAAAAAGACTTTGTTTAAAAGTGGATTTTTAAAAAAATCATCACACAGTCACTTCAAACACAAACGCGCACATTACAACTGACAGAGATACATTTTCTGACACGTGAAAGGTATTTGCTAAAATAAATTGCGTTCGTTTTTGTCTATTATTAAAATGCAGCTTGTACGTTTAAATGAGCCTGCATCTCATGTTTCTTGTAATCAAAGATATTGTTTCAAAGGGGCTGTTCGTTAAGATAAACATATGCACTATTCCAGTAAAGGTATGCATGCATCACTCATTAAAATAGGCGATACGTCTAGTTCGCTTCGTCTAAGGTCATCTTTGCCTGAGTGTGTTGAAACATAAGTTTCTGAATATTATGCTCATACAAAAAAAAACAAAAACCATGATGAAGACAGGCGCTTCAGAAAATTTGGCAGTTGCTATTCAACCACCGGATCCTGTTGTTTTGCTCAAAGCAAGTAAATTACAATGCATGATTCCGGTTACTTTCCAAAATGTATCTTGGCAATTTATATTAGATAGGAAGTATTCAAAGTATCTGGGAGATATATAATGGTTAAACAAAAATCTAATTACGAATGGCCCGAATCAAATATTGCATATAGTTAACTAATTTCCGGATAAAAAACAGATAATTTTTAACCTCCAGATTTTTTTTTTTCTTTTCTATACGTTTTTTTAATTCTGTATGTAAAAACGTTTGAAAACTTTAAATCCAAATATGGAAAAAACTTGCAGATCAATAAACCATGAACTGGTTGTTTTTTTTTTTTTTTTGAGCTGAATTAAAACGTGCGTACGATGCTGTGGATCTATACATCCTTTCCAACTAACAGGTAAAATCACAAAAATACTTAACTCCGAGGAAAATTTAAAATGGGATGTCCCTAATCAAATGGCAAAATCAAAAGCTCAAACACATGAAACGAATGGATAACAATTGTCATATTCCTGACTTGGTACAGGCATTTTCTTATGTAGAAAATGGTGGATTGAACTTGGTTTTATAGCTAGCTAAACCTCTCACTTGACAGTCGCATCAAATTCCATTAAATTGAGAGGACGACCCTTTAGTGTTGGACATATAATAGCTAAGACAACCATCTACCAGTCGGCTTTTGTTTTGACGTCCTATCACTAATTTTAATCATTAAATTATTCTGAACATATGTTAAGATACGGAAAGAACGGAGTCAGTTTACCCTTCCAGAGAGCCGCGCTCATCCGCTAATTTGGTCATATTCAATTGATTTCTTAATATAGTTTACAAATATACCCTTTATCGCTTTCGTCACAGCCTTTTTTTATCAGTTTATTCTTTGATAGAAATAATTTTAAAGTATCCATTTGAATGGATATGTTTTCAGTATTTTAATCATATACTGTAAATTAAGAAATTATTGCGTGCATTTATTAAAGCTATTTCGACATGACAAACCAAGATGTGAGAATAATTATTGCGAAAACAAGAGAAACTACATACAAATATATGTGTCAGATTTCGGAATGCGAGTTCTTATTATTGCGATACTCACCTAGTTGCATTACTTGCAAAATTGAAAGGGATGACAATAATATATATTCAAAATATGAAACTAGAATGCACGAACATCACATGGATATGATTGTGTAAAAAGTGTCTGGACAAATTGACATTTCAATATAATAACAAGCATATAAATAAATCAGTCTGAATACAACAATAATTATATCATTCTACCGGATACCGCGTACTGTAAGCAGATATAATTGTGTAAAAGAATGTGTAGACAACGGGTTTATTTTAGACATAATATGTAATTCGGGATCTTCACAGGGGATATTGGCTCATATTCTCAGTAAGTTTTTATATCTCCTGAGCCGTCAAGCGAAAGATGTAATATACTTGAGTGTTATTTAAACAATAATTACCATTCAAATCACCGCTTTTGTTTACGGGCTATATGCACCATGAACCACCGAATACTTGCTATTATATTTACTCACGTAGTGCATGATATTCGATGATGAAGTCAGTTATATGTAAACGGCACCATAACAACACAATTAGCAAACAAACAGAAAATAAAAAGACTCTTATTGAACCGCATACGTCCTTAATAATAGAAAAGAAAATGTATTCGAACCAATGACGAGGTTCCTTACTTGGGGGTAGGCATATTAACTTCTAGCAGGATGAAACAGTGTTTACGTCTCTCGTTCGATGAGTGGAATAACAACAGTCAAAGAGAAGGACGTACATTAAAAATGTAAAGTGATTACAGACGACAAAATGAGAAATCAAATCAAACAATATAAATAATGCCTTATCAAAAAAGGCTTGCTATTACCAAAGCAAACCTGTCATTACTTAGTCTGCTCATACAGCATTTGTGACGTCAGATGCAACAAAAAAAAGGTTTCCCATTATATCGTTAAATAAATTTATAAAAATTTTCTGTAAAATTGAATTTTGCTGCATCTGCGTTATATTGAAATATTCATTCGGTACAGTGTAATAGCAGGATATATTTTCTTCAGGGTTACAGTGACGGCTATTACCCAGGCAGTGCGTACAATTATCCATCTGGAAGTCACGGATATCACGGTCATGGATATAAGGGAAAGTATTACGGAAAGGGAAAGAAATACTATTACAAATATAAGCGCACTGGAAAGTACAAATATCTTAAAAAAGCTAGAAAATACCACAGAAAAGGTTACAAGAAATATTATGGAGGCGGTAGCAGTTAGTCACACGTGTTAAATAACATCTAAATGGATATGAATCTAAAGATTATACTGGTATTGTTGAGAAACTATTTCAAATAAGTTCGCCCTTAATCGACAGATTGTCATATATATACAAATAAATATATATATATCCATTCATATTCTACTTTACTCTTCTGTGTAGCATCGCCATTTCCATGCAATCCGTCCGATACTAGTGTTATGACTAGAAAAATCGACTTTTGATTGTAGCCATCAAAAGACACAAACCAATAATAAAATTTAACAAGATATATTACACACTAATTTACAAGAAGTATTACACAAATATAAATGTCAACTTAACTGTCAAAATATATGTCCAATCTTTTATGATTTCTTTATCCGGAAATCTTCACGGGAATCCACAGAATATTACGTCCAATATGTCACAATTTAGTATGATGTAGTTTGTAAATAAAAGTGTCAATCCAACTGCTGAGAATGTTGGTGTCTATCGATGTCTAAGTCTATCTAACTTTAGGGTCTGCATACTTGTATATATACTCAAACGGAAACTTCTAGATAACGGTAGATGTTTAAATTACGCATCTTTTGTTATGATCATTCTGTAAACGTTATGTAAGTGAAATAGAAAGTTCTAATCATTCCATGAGTTTCAATGATTGTTCCAGTTATTTCTAAACTGCATAGTTGTAACACAATGTGTATTATTTTGTACACAATGTAAAAATATATGATAGGACACACAAAACAAATTAGGGCAACTTAATGAATATGATAGTTACAATATCATAACACTAGTAGATTTGCTAGTTTTCTATATGGGCACAATATGAAAAGGGATATATCTGTCCCTAAAAGTTTATAGCTTAAAGAAAGATAAATATTCAGCACAGCATTATGCCCTTCGTTAGCGTGGATCTCTTTTCATAGTGATATAATTCATTCTGGACAAAAATACATTAAGTGAGACTGTTTACGAGCTTGTTCTATATAGAAGCAGACCAGCAGATATAATGAGTATAGAATCGCCTTGAAATTACTTTTGGCAGATTCGAAACACATTAAGTTTGTTCGTTGGTTATATTGCACCAGACAAATTAACTTCATCATCTATGCAGTTCTCCTATTGGTTATCGCATTCTAATTTAAAACGAATTCAGTTTATCTTAAAATTTAAACGTACAAGCAAATCTTATTGTGTTGCATAATTTTTTTTTGTTTTCTTGTTTTATTCAATATGTATTTATTTGACTTTGATTTACGGGAAAATGTTTAAATCACTCTCATTGAGTCCATTTGGTATGAGTAAACTACTGATGCATAGTAAATTACATACATACATGATTTTTTAAAAGTCTACCAAATAGCTGATAAACTTGAGGCAATCAATGAAAAATTGAGTATTCAGTAACATTTTACTTTTTTTTGTCATGTCGACCCTTTTATACCTTATTTACGGTATGGGTTTTGCTCATTGCTGAAGGTGGAAAGGTGACCTAGTATTGCTAACATCTACTTCATTTGGTCTATTGTGGATATTTGTCTGCTTTGCAATTACAAAAAAACCCAAAATTATTTTAATAATGAATATCCAAAAATCGTAGCAAGATATATTTTTCAGTAGAGTAATATTTGCAAATGTGTATATATTTTTGACAGTCCTTTTGTTTAAGTAAAACAACATTGTTAAATTGAATGCAGATTAAAAAACCTTCTAAATCTATTTAAGTTTTGCAAATCATTTATCAATATCAGAAGAAAGTATTGCTGTAGCTTTTCAAATATTCTAAGGCAAAAGCATCTTATCTTGCATGAATATTACTCAATCGAGCGAGCAAAAGTAAGCCAACGCTAGATATCCAGGCAGTATTCCCAGCACCACGTCCGTAATAATCCAACATTTCCGTATAAAACACTCCAAAACATTTCGTACTGGCAGAAATATTCAAAGCATTTATACAACAAACTATAAACAATTAAAACACAAATATAAATTCACGATTTTCTTGAATTATAAAAGAATTGCGATTGTGTCGGACGTTTTCACTAACCTTTGTGAGAAATTTATGCAATCAATCGGTTTATTTGAAAAAAAAATATGTATGCCTCAATGAAACAGCTGTCCAGCTGGCCAACAACAAAAACACAAAATCAATACAACAGGTAAACACAAAAAAGGAAAGAAAACAAAAACACGAGAAACCAAAAAAAGATTAGCCAAAATCATGTAAGTTCAACTATCCATGAGGGAGTTGGAACCTAAGTTCTTTAAGAAAAGTATGTCATAAATCATGCTAGTACCGAAGCACTAATTACTGACTCCAAAACTATGAATTTCTTATACCAGAATATATATATATATATAAAATGATATTAACAAGCAAATTTTTCATTTTGCTCTTGACATATTTATTTTGCTGAACCTCCTGCAATGTTGCACATAGAAAATTATTTTCCAATTGATCAGTATTGATTGCTAAATTGTGTGTCCAAATTTCTGTGGGTTACGGGAAGAAGAGTATCTTGTCGAAGTTTTATTCCGCGATAATGACATTTGTGTTATTGTCCTATGGAAAGTTTTTGCTTATGTGTTTTGTCTATAAAGTGTCTTAATGTCATTTTGTTTTTCTTTGTTGACATAGTTGTTGTCAATATAATGGAATTATATGTGACTGTCATACAACTGAGATGTTTAGCTAGCTATAACATCAGGTTTGATCCACCATTTTCTACATAAGGAATTACCTGTACCAAGTCAGGAATATGACATATGTTTTCCTTTCGTTTGATGTATTTGATCTGTTGATTTTGCCATTTGATAAGGGACTTTCCGTTTTGAATTTTTCTTTGAGTACGGTATTTTCGTTATTTTACTTTTCATTAACGGTGACCACTTAAACTCTTGATTCAAGAAAAAATAAAATCACAACACTGAAAATGAATAGCAAATTAAGAACAATTATCATAAATCCAACAAAAAATATTATAAGATACTGGTGTCTGCAAATTCATTAACACACAAGTTATTTCTCAATTGGATACTGATGTATTGTATGGCCATATACACAGTTTTAATATTTTAAACAAGTGTAGTCAGTAGTGATAAATAAAGTTGTATAAACATATTTTGGATTAATCCAACCGTGTAAAAATTTCTTAAGAAAGGATTCTAAATTTAGATATGCAGTATACCTTTGTGTACTTAGTATACAAAACTGTATTTAAATGGGTTGTGTGTCACACCTACGTAAATAGAGGATACATTAGATCTTTGTGGTGATGTTCTATGTGTTTGGAAGTTATTTTAGCGTAAGGCTTCAACTAAAACCAAAAGCAAGAATAGTATGGAGATATATCATAATAACAATATAATATATAGATAGTTGGTTTTTTTTTCAATCTGGTTACTAGCTCTTTGTTGCTAAAGTATTAACTGGCCCCTTTTTAAGTCACTGTTCTACAGGATAATAGAAGTCTCTTTTCGTCGCATGATGTCCGTCGTACTAATCTTATAAGAACTTTGAACATGTTGATGACTGACAATGTAATATTTGCTTCTTGTATTGTCTTCAATTTTGCCTCCTGGTATGAAACAATTACCTTATGTTAGCCAACAAAATATGATTCTAAGCCTATAAGTTAACATGTTTTCTTTCTCTGTGTTATATATATATATATATTTACTTATAATTAACTAAAATAGTCTAGTATATTTTTTCATGATTGTACCTTTATTTACATAAATACGTACTTGTAAAACCAAAATAAAATGTAGACATTGAAATTCACTTTCTTTGCCTCGTTAAACTTTGTGATTACTTTAAAAATGTTTCGGGTCAATGATGAATTGGAATTGCCCTTAAATGCATTAAACCACGATCTTTGATATTGAAAAACAAATGGGAATATGTGTGTTGTGTAAATTTCACAAGTTAGAAAATGAAAAATGCAGACGTCGATAACGGCTATGCATGGATTATATTGATTTGTGAGTATAGAATTAACTATAATTAACTGCGAAATGTAAATACATAGAGGATAGCATTTTGATTTTGAACAGAGGCTTTCATAGTACAAAGCAATGGCGGACCAAGGACTGGTTGATTGATTGTTGGTTGCTTAACGTCTAGTGTGCGGACCAAGAAGGATGATAATTTATTTCTGAGATTATACCCTCTTTCTTCGTTATTCATCTAGTAAATATTGATTTAAGTTAATAAGGATAACTGCATTTCCCCTTGAGTATAACAATAGACACTGGTACCTACTCACTCCAACACAACCACACACACATATTTTTCAAAACTTGCTTGATCCATCATGAACAAGACTATGAAATACACTTTTCTATTATGACTCGAAGAATTCTTTTGTTTAAAAAAATAAGAAGATGTGGTATGAATGCCAATGAGACAGCTCCCCACTAGAGACCAAATGACATAGAAGTTAACAACAATAGGTCACCGTACGGCCTTCAACAATGAGCAAAACTCATACCGCATAGTCAGATGTAAAAGGCCCCGATATAACAAATGAAAAAATGAAAACAACACGCTATAAAACAATTTAAACGAGAAAACTAACGGGCTGATTTGTGTATAATGCAATGAACGAAAAACAATTATGATATGCAGCAACAAACAATTACAGGCTCCTAACTTGGGACATACAGAATTTGGCGGGGTTAAATTAGTTTGCTGGTGTCAAACCCTTCCCTTCCCTGAGAAAGTGGTGTAATAGTACAACATAAGAACAAACTATAAAAATCAGTTGAAAAGGGATTAATTCAACAGATCGATACAAAACAGAAAACATCTAACAAAACACAGACCGGACGTGGTAGGGTATTCATGCATCCCCACAACAAAAAAGACACTAAGTACAGATCCGAGGAGTACTCGTAGTTACTGACAGCTAGTTTAAAGCCAATAACAAATAATACAAAAATCATTCATATAAGACTACAATATTGATCACTACACATCCAAAATCCAATGGATTTAGTGTAAAGACGTCATTAACAGTCAGAAAAAAAACAAGACATTGTGCAATGCCAAAATACAGGTATCGACAGATTGTAGAGCAATGAATGTGCATATGTATATAACAATAATATTTAGTTTAATTTTACAGATTATAAAATCAATATTTATACCAATAAAAACAATATTCAAACATCTAATTCGTTTTTTGTTGGATTGCTATCTATATATACCATATCTTCTTTAGTTAAAACAGTTGAAAATTATTTGATTGGCTTTTACATTTTTAGTAATAATCATAAACAAACAAAAAAGAAAACAATTACAAAGCAATTTCTATAAGAAAAGCTATAATCTTATGGTTGAGACCAAAACAATCATTTATAAGGTATTTCTGAGTTTCGCTGCAATTTTTTTACTAAAACATGTAAAATCTGCAATGTTATATTAAAACTGATTTAAAAATATTGAAGAAGAGTTAAACAATCAAAACAAAATATGACTTTAAATCATAAAGTGTTTACAGAAATGTAAAGTGGCCTTTCGTGATCATTTAAACAAATGGAATGCAACAGTATTGTGATGGGTTTGTAAGATGACTGAAAACAAATAAAATTTACATAAAAAGAAATAAGTGAAGCTTTACATATATGTTAGCATATTTACTACAGTGCAAACAAGAAAAACATATGCTAATAATTTGTTTGCATTTTGTTTTATCATTGCAAGGGTAGAATTGAAGATAATAAATAATACGTCTTTGCAGAATCCCAGGTATAGAAAAGAATTTAAGGTATACTAACTTTTGTTTTAGCAAATTAAATTATCAAAGGTACCCTTTTGAACAAAGTATTCTTACATTTATTTATTATCATTTTTCAGTAAAGTGAATCATTATTCACCATTTCTTAAATATCTTAGTATAACATGTTACTGTACCAGTATATAGAGAAATTAAATAATTATAATAAGTAAATTTACCTATCACTATTTCTTCCCCTTTTCATTTCTTCGATGTTTATCCGTTTTCTCGTATATATCGTAGTGAAAATGTGTGTTATATTTAGAGCTTGATGTTGATTGAGAATTATCTAATGTTATTCAATCAATTTCATTTAATTAGTAAGACTATCAAAATTTTAAAACTTTTTATTTCTATTCTGTGCTTGAAACCCTTCGTATATTGCTCCAGGTTGTAATATGTATATCTATTACTGGTTCACTATAGCTTCTGAATGTACTATGAAGTATCACTCCAGTATACCTTTTTATAATAATTACTCTGCAGTCACATACCCTTTTTATGCGTTTTTTTTTTTACAATTCAACGACAGGCATTAATTTGATTTTATATTTACTCCCGATTTAAAGATTAATTAAAAAATTACCAAAGATTCCAGGCTTATAATTTGGAATACCAGATGCGCGTTTCTTCTTCATAAAATTCATCAGTGATGCTCAAATGAAGACAGTTGCATAGCAAAATTAGATTTTACGAAGTTGAAGTGCCTTAATGACCTTATATTCGGAAAATTTGTACCAAATAGGACTATATCGTTTGGCAATGTATATCTTCTCGGTGTAATTGTACACCACTTGATGTATTTATTTATTTAATTTTTTCTTTGGCTTTGGGAGTCCCTGAGAAGTTTTATCCAGAAAAGCGCTTTTGTGAGTATTGTGTAAGGTTCGATGCTTAGTGTCTTCATTTTTATGATATTTGCTGGTCTTCCAGTCTATTTAAATTTTGAAAATGTTCTAAGAACGGAAAAAAATCTATGATGAGATTACTTGGAATGTGTCTAACTACAAACCGGATATCATGATTTCTGAACCATTTCTTCTTTGCAGCCTTTTCCTTCATTATCGAAATGCGTTTAACATTTTAAATGCCTAGATCAATAAGATCTTTTTGGTTTGTTTGTGTAACGGGAGTAATAAAAGATTTCATACAGGCTTCGTCGTCTTCTATTGTCTACCCAAGTTCTGGGGTACTGGACAAACTACGTAACTACGTACATATATAAACAAGATGTTTATTTTAAAGACATATATGGCTGAACACAAGCTTACATACAATAAATAGTATATAAGTGGCGGCTAGTCTTTTTGTCTCATTAAAGGTTCCATATCTTAAAGCCAAAGTATGAACGTCTGCTCATTTTAAATCCTAAGCGGTAGACTGCCCTGAACCCGGTGAGTGACGTCATATCTATAGTTCCTAGGGACAACGAGCCCGGCCGGGATGTCAGGCATTTGCAGAAACAGAAAATAATCCGACAAGAATATTTCATGGCCGGTCTCGGGAGAAATAGAAACGGAACAATAATTACTACTAACTTTAACCAATTTTTCCAAACAAATGGTACAAACAAGTAAACAAAATGACCACCATTACACTTTGTATGAATCATGGTATGATTTTATTTCCCATAAAGTCTCGTAATCAATTGATATCTAACTGTAAATATTCATTTTGTTTTCAGGTTCTTCATTTGTTTATCTAATAATTGCTGGAAGTCTAAACACGTTTGGAATTTTGTATACCGAGCTTTTAGATTACTATGGAGACGGTGCGGGTAGTACTGCATGGATATCCAGTATTTGTACTTTCTTTGCTCTAGGGTTAGGTAGGTCAACATTTCATATTTATTTTCTGTTTTCCGTAAGTTATAACAAGCCAATAAGTCACAACTCTTGTTCTGATATTAAATATCATCTGTATATTTACCTTTCATAGAATAAAATGGAATGACCAAGATATGTTTACTTCCAGGCAGAAACATCTTGATTTTTTTGTAATTTATGATTTTTGACATTGATTTGCCTGTCTACTCTTTTGATTTGAGTAATGTGCTTAATTCGCCGTTTCAGAATCTAATGCATTCTTGGTTATATTTTCAAAAATGTACACCAAAGCGTCGTGATTGGTTTAAAACGTCCTAAAAAATTCTACCAATGATGTGACGATATTTTCATTTTAGAGTACGTTCAATAAAATTACCCATAGTCCTTAATATTCTGAAACGGCCTATTAGAAGCTGCCATATCTGGAAACTATATGTAAGTAATATATCGCTCAGTTTTTAAATGATGTGCGTTGATTAGGTTTAAGCGACAAAAGAATGATTTCATTATATATTTTTTTTGTTAAAAGGAAACTCTTGTTTCTTTTTGTGATCTTATAGGACCTTTTGTCAATTTTCTGGGAGAGAAGTATACATATCGGTTAGTGATGATGATTGGGAGTTGTCTAGTATTACTGGGATATACTACTAGTGCCTTTGTACGAGGAATAAAGATGTTCTATTTAACTCATGGTGTAATCACAGGTAAGATGATATGGAAAGAGGATTCTATTTTGGACTAGCGAATATACCAAATACTAAACAAATTGTTAATTGTTTAATTCTTTTGGAAAGCGTTGTTTTGTGTTTGTATCCACTGACAAAGCAGCCAACAAAATTATCGCTGTTTGATGAAAGTACCAGATTGATAATCAGAAAATTATCGAAAACTCTGTAACTTTTATTCTATTAGCGTCTGTAGAAATAAACAACGACTGAACTGAAAGCTAAACCACCAGTTTCCTACTCTGTACTAACTTCCTTTATAACACAAGAAACCGTATCATGTGTCTTTTACACCTGCATCCATTCAATCTAAACTAAAACTATTTTTTTCTTCTGGATAGTGATGTGTCAACCGTTGAGAAACTCTAAGTTAAAAATGTTTGAAATTGATAGTGGCAGTATCGATCTTTTATTTAGCTGTCAAAATCTTCGGATTTTGTTAAGTATAGTTTGTTTGGAGGTTAGTTTGTTTCCCGAAGCAGCTATGATTTCTCGTCTCGTATATTACATTACTAGATTCCCTGAGTAACTACCTCTTTCGAATCTTACTTCTTTGTTTAAATCATGTTTGAAAACCCCTGTTACAAATTTCCATTCTAACCACGAAAACTTATATCAATCATTTCGGAAATTACTATTTCTTTTAAAAGTTCAACCATCTGATTCATGTTTGCAAGTCCCCAATTGACACACCACCAAGACTGTCACAAGTGCAGAAATAACGTAGCCATTAATCCATTAGCTTTGAATATAACTTTATAATACGGGGGAAAACGTTGAAAAGAAAACGCATATACATTTCCGAATGAGTTAAAGCTCTAAGGTTGTAGACACAATTCAGAATTTGAAATTAAATGGGTCTATGAACACTCGTCATTTTCCATAACGGTCAACCAACCGTAATGTTGTTGTCAAGGGTGAACATCAATTCGCTTATATTATATTTGGAAGCAAGGATAGTAGTGTGTTGTTCTGCATTAAAATTCTGTATATGTTTAATCTGGTCATTGCAAAAAATATCATGTCGTTCAGTATTTTTTATGACGTTGCTGCATGAAATAAAATGCGAATAACCGCTATTGATATTTAAGTGTAGGACATAGTATGATTTCATAAATGACTGTTAAATTTTTTCATACTCTCTGTAAGTCACCTGATTGAAACAAAAAAAAGGAAGGGTTGAGATCTGAAAAAGTAAATATAACGACAATCATAGCAGAAGCCATATGGAAAAGTATTTGCAAAATAGAAAAAGTAATAAATTCTTTGAAATAAAATATTTTTCTTTATAAATGAATTGCATAATATGATATGGATACTCAAGTGTAGAAATGACACGTGTGACTTTAGTATGCTGCTGCCATTATCATGTATATGTATACATAATCATTGTCTATCTTGACTTAAACCTCGTTTTTCCTTTTCATCTTTCATGATTGTCTTTTTTTAAAGATACATTTTCCTCATCTTCAACTTTTTATGAACAGTGATAGTTTTGCTGTTCACTCTTGATTAGAACAAATTTGATGTAGATATTAACTGTATTCGACGGAAAGCACAAGTTATAGAAAATTAAGTTAAACGACCTAACTCTAAATAAAATATAATGTTAGCAATTGCCAAGAAAAATCATCGTGTACAAAAATTCTTTTTTAAGGTTTTGGCTTTGGACTCATGTTATCACCATGCTCTACAGTAGTTAACTTTTATTTCAAAAAGAAAAGAAGTTTTGCCAACGGAATAATGGTGAGTTTTAGTGGTGTTGGAGGTTTTAGCTTTCCATACATGTACAGATGGTTGATTGACAAGTATGGTCTTCATGGAGCATTTTTGTTAAGTGGAGCCTTATTGTTTCACTCATGTGTCGCAGTAGCGTTATTACTACAACCCCAACAAATCGTAGAAAAACATCAAACGACTAACAGAAAAATTATCTCTTGGATTATATATTTATGGGAGGCAAAACAGCGAATGTTCAAAGTTGGACTTTTTAAAATTCCAAAATATACAATTTGTTTTACAGCATTATGTTTCCAATTTGGGAATTTTACGGGAAATTTGATAGCTCTTCCAGGTCAAGTTCGATCGCTTGACCTTGGAAAACAGGCTATAGTGCAAGTTTTATCAGTATACGGCGCAACAGAAATAGTATCTAGAACATTTCTTGGATGGTTTGCAGGTTTAAACATAATAAAACGAACTAATTTACTACTGATGAGTTCTTTTGTTAGCTCACTGATTGCCTTTGGTATACCACATCTGCCTTATAAAGGCGCTCTGTTAGTCTATGCTGTGCTGATGGGATGCTTTTCCTCTACATTTTGGAGTTTAGTTGGTGTGTTGTTGGTGGACTGTGTGGGACTAGATAACTTATCACCAGCTATTGGTCTATTGTTATTTGCTATGGGGATCATGATTTGTGTTTCACAGCCAGTTACAGGTATTTTTAAGGCATATATACATAATATTATACATTGAAGGAAAACCAAATAGAAACAAAGCTACAATTTGCTTTGATATCATAATATTAGGCAAAAATTGGCCAGAAGTGCTTGCATACCTCCTGGCTATCATTAACTTCGGTGACATAGGTCTACATACGGTATGATAAAGACTGCTGTCAAAAACTAGATGTTCAGCTATAAATCGTCCCTAGTCTTCCAAAAAAAAACGGTACGATCTTATTTTTCATATTATTATTTTATTAACATTAAACAAAAGACATAAGAAAATAAGTTATATATGAGCTTAATCTTGCAATCAAAATACAATTGCGACGTCATGACAAATATTTGAAAGGATTTGCAAAATTAAAACAAGTTTTCATGATTATTATGGCTAAACTAGAGTAGAGCCCAAGTCTCTTGATATTTGGTAAATAATACATCTAATATCCGGTGTGAAAATGTCCATTCGTTACCCTGCAATTGTACATCTAATATCGGTTTGAAAATGTTTAACCGTTATCCTGCAGCTGTACATCTAATATCTAAAGTTTCATTTATTTTCATCATTGTTTACAATCAAAGTTCATGTGTATAGGTAAGAGGCCGCAGTAGTAAAATAATATTCACAGTTCGAAAATTAGTCGGAAGGTATAGCATCTCCTACTGGCCTTTACCACCATGAATAAACGATAAAAATAATCATAACAAGTATAGCAATGCCTTCATGAATAACAAAGATTCACCATTTGATTCTGCAATTAGAAGACGTTTTGATATACTTCTAATAAGGACTCATTTGATATTTAATAGTGCCGAACCTACTTTTTAAACAGAGACTCAAAGATCGGCTATCATCATAAAATGGTAGCTGACTTGCTATTCATTTCATATGAGAATTTTATTCAACAAATACTTAAAAAAAGAATTATAGCGACTTCACTCACAGTTATTTATTCAACTAAAAACTACTCCAATAATGGAGAAATTTTACGTCCGCAATTATGAATTAGCTGATATGACATTTTAACTCTTTTATATATCCAATATGTTGAATCTGTCATAGTGTCAGCTTATGTCACGTTCGTGGCTTTGACGTTTGCCATATTGCTATTGCTTTGTTATGTCCCTTCTGGTCAGTTAACTCCTGGTGAAGGTTAATCTAGAAAAGCACTTCTGACATCCAAAAGTATTTAAGTATGTTTACACATTGGCTTTCAAATTAATGAATTTAGGCTTTCCTGAAGAAGGTTGATCCGGAAAAGCACTTCTGACGCACCAAATTTATTACGTGATATTTTCTTTTTACAAATGAGCATGGTTTGTTAATCGTGTGATGGTTGATCTACCACTTTTATATTCAAGGCACCTTAAAATCGTTTCATGCTTCATTTGCAAATGACAGACTTCTTAATCAGTTGTCTTGTACTTAGAACTCAAAGCAGTTAATTGTGGAAAACATATTTTCCACACATTTATGTTTCCTTTCTTTTTTTGGAAATTATATTCTTTATTCTCTATCTAGTTTATTTTACATAATTCTTTCTGACATCTAGGCTGATTTTTGACATAACTAACAATCATTTTAATATTTCAAGGATGGTTGGAAGATTCTACCGGAAGCTGGGATATGTCGTTCCGATTCATAGGTGTACTAAGTGCAATCTCCTGCATGTGTCTTCTGTTAGGACCCATGATTGAACGCATGTCGTGTTTTCAAAAAGAAAGAAAAAGTAATTTGAGTAATATTGAGAAGCAAATGGAAGAGTATAATGGTGGGGCTATTCATATGGAAGAAACGGAAGACTTGGTAATTAAAGACTGTTGTTCCAAAAGCAATGACAAAGAAGTAACTAAACAAACAGAAGAAGTCCATCCACTATATCCTCAAAAGAATGATCCATGACGCATGTGTAGTCATGTTTTTTACGAAATATATTTTTTAACTATAAGCTTCAAGAGTATGCATGACATTTCTTGGGTTAAGAATATTGTAGTAATTATCAAAAAAGCCTCAATTCAAGTTGCATATATTTCTATTCTCAATATGAATAAGATAAATATAGAGGGGCTCTACGTTATGATTACAAAACTCCACTGAATAATCAGAAATTGATTTATTTTTGCCATTTTGATATGAGAATAAGAAGATTTGGTATGATTGCCAACGTCATAATTCTCGACCAGAGATCAAATGCCATAGAAAAAATCATCATAGATATCAGGATTGAAATTTTGAAATAGAAATTAACAACTATAGGTCACCGTTCAACTTTAAACAATGAGCAAAACCCATTTTTGCTGTCGCGCCAAACCCTCCCCGAACCTAGGACAGTATTGAAACAGTATAACATAAGAAATAAGAAAAATCAGTTGAAAAAGACTGAACTCATCAGATCGATAAAAAACAGAAAAACAACTAGTAAAAAACACAGACCGGACTTGGAAGGTTAGTAGTACATCCCCACAAAAAAAAAGAAACTATGTACAGATCTGAGAGTACTTGCAGTTACAGCTAGTTCAAAGCCAATAACAACTAATAAAAAATCATCTATCTAAGACTAAGATATTCATCAGTTCACATCCAACATCCAATGGATTTAGTGTAAAGACATCAATAACAGTCAAAAAAAACATTACCTTGTGCAATGCCAAAATACAGGTATCGACAGATCGACAAGAAACACATAAAAAAAATAATAAATAATAATATTTTCCGAGATTTAGATATATCAAAAAGTACATATTTAACCGATTAAGTGTATAACGACATTTTAAACAGTCTGAGAACAGCGAGACTTCAGGCAAATATTCATAAGCCCAGTACTGGAATGAGACAGCACTGTCCATATTTATAGTATTGTCTCATTCTCAACCTCTGATAATGCAAGATTTTTGCTGCTGTCTTGTGATAGCTTTTTCAGACGGATATCCTTTTGACTGTCCCTGTACATCGGAGTTTTACTCATAATTGGTCTTCTAACATATTCCATTTACTGTAAAACTTTCGTCTTTCAATAACCGAAAATAAAATATTATTACAAACGAAAAGAAAAGTTGTATTCCGTCCAAATTGTTAGAAAAAGGTGGATGCTTCACGATTATTCTATTGATCACCTTACCCCTAGCTTTCCTCAATTAATTCAATAAAATAAGTCATTGCTTTTATATCAGATTTCCGCCCGTTTATTTAAATCATGGTATGTAATTGTTATGAATTGTAAATTTCAGTCAATTCTTCTTTTGAATAAAAAAAATTTTGACAAAAATACCGAACTCAAAGGTAAATTCAAAAAGGGGGAAGTCCATAAAACTTGGAAAAAAAATCAAACTCACGAATATACCAACCAACGTAACGTATGGAAAAACAACTGTCATATACCTAAATTCGGACAGGCATTTTCCGAAGAAAATAGTGGGTTTAACCTTGTTTTATAGGTAGCCGAATTAAGATAAAAGGTAAAGTAAATGGTAGGTATTAATTAAGATGCTAAGCATATGGAAAGTATCATTTTATTTTTTTAGGATCTGGTTTATTTAACATATCCAACATGTTTCAATGTTAAATGATTAGTAAAACTTGTTAATCAATGTTGGTTTTTCACATCATCGCATTTTCAAATATGTATTTGGTTGTTTGAGAGTTAGATGTGAGGATGAGGCGGTATATATCAACTTTTATTACTGTTCATCTATTTTTCTTGGTGATAACGAAGGTTAATTACAGGTGATCAACATAAGTTAATCTAATCGGAACTCCGTAAAGATTTTTCATCATTTGTTTTATTTTTTAAAATCTGGTTTATTATTATCTTTCGGTTTCATTTCTATTCACGGCAGAAATGTTCCTTGACGACAATTTAGAAATCTCAACATCCTGATGAACAGTTTTATTTACTCTGACTTAGGATATATCTTATAACATCACAATTTCCTTAACGAACTTGCCGAAACCCCAAATGATGGAACAGCGCTTTCATTGCTATTTAAAACACATCGCTTTATCTAATTAGTTTTCTTTTGTTTTTTTAATTGATAAATCGTTTTATTCAAATTTCTTCTGATAAACAATATCCCTTAGCATCCCAGGAGAGCAGACGACGTATCTAATTTGTTACACTTAGTGGTTATGACACAACTTTGGGGTCATTGCCGATGTACCCAACTCGTTTAAAACCGCCTGCACTCGGGTGTTTATGATATCATTAATTTGTGTTCAAACTGCATAAATTATATAGTTATCGAAGTTATTTAATTTGCGTTGTTGGTTAAATTTACAAGTTAGAAAATGAAATATACAGATGCTAATAACGGATATGCCTGGATGATATTAATGTTTTCAGTGTTAGTACAGTCTAAATTCTAAATTAAAAAAAAATCAAAGTTATCTGGTGAAATGAAATTTGCTTGGATTTTTTATTTGAAGATTTGTTTGTTACTTCAAATTTATCTAAATTATTGCAATCCCTTTTCGAAGAACGAAAGAAACTTCTAGAAAATATCAATGTAGTTTGAAAAATAGAAAAATAAAAAAATCGATCAGGAGTTGTCTCCCATAGGCCTTTGTCTATAAATTTATTAAGAAACGTATCTTCTCCATGTCACAGTGGCTTCCAAAATGACTTAATGTTTTGCCAATGACATTATTTATAACTATGTTATTTTTTGTTCAAATATGTATACTGGTTTTTGTTTAAATGTACTTTAAGCACTCTAATCATTCTAATCGTTTACTGTGCTTTATTTTGTAATTCATTTGATTGTTTGAATTTTTGGCACTATGATTGGTTAATAAAATATCTTGTATCTTGTCTATTTTTATCGTAAGTGAAAACGTAAAACTACTAAGCAGGATGGCGAATTCAAATTTTTAGAGAGGCCTAAGATACCTAAGGAAGAATCAAAACTGAAACGATGAAGTAAAACAGACAAAATCATGAAAAAAACGACTAAAAGATAAACAAATGACTACATAAAAAAAACAACAGAGCAATAAAAAAGAGGGAAAACAAGGTTTAAAAACCTAGAGGACAAAGCAGTGAGGATAAAAACACCGGAGATAAGACCCTATTTTTTCAGTTTTTGTCATGAAACTCTTGATAAAAAAATATCGATAAAACACCCAATTGCCCCATCATGCCCATGTTTAACAACTGTCAGCTCCTCTACAACCATAACAAAAAAATCACACAACGCGCGTTTGGTATACTAAATGTAGAATCTGGTATCTTCAATCTGTTTTATTTTACTGGACAAAGATACAGGTAAACAAAATGCAACTGCTATTAAAGAAATATTTATGATAAAAATGTGGATGTCAGGAACCCAGTCACGGTTGTCATTTAGGGAATTAAGGGTTGATGGTCTTTGTTAAATTGACTAACAACTGTTTTGAACTCGGAACGATTTATATTGCATATGCACTTTTGATTGTTGAAGACTGTAAAGATGTCTTTTGATTGTTGTTTCGTCGGGTTGTTTTTTCATTGACCTATACCAAATATATGCGTCAAAATATGTAACATTAGAAAATGTAAAACTAATTGCCACAAGCTTTTTTTTTATTGCAAAAAAATCGTCATTTTCGATACTAACGGGATCAATAATAGCTTATTCAAACATTAGACACATAAATCGATTGATTAAAACAAAAACCCGAGAAAAAAAGGGTTAACCTTCGTGTTGCTCGTTTCATATGAAAATAAGGGAAAGTCGTATCCGGTAATAAATCATCAACAAGGGAAGAAGGACGGTAGTTCGACTACGACAAATGCTAAATGTCATATATATTCTGCTAAATCACATGAAGTCTTTCTCCATAGTCTTTATATTATTACATTGCTATTGTGCTTAAATTTTGTGGATTCCTTTCATCCATGCTATTTGATTATCATATATTGTTTATATAAATCAATTACCGTTCGTTACTTTTACAACAAGACAGATCATCACTCCTTTATATATACTGATTACGATAAACAACCTTTATATTCCACATACACAATTGTTAATGTGGGAATCGGATGTGGCAAAGGATATAGTTCCACTTCGACAACAACTTTTTGGAGTTTGTAAAGCTTTTACTATTTTCCTTCAATTTTATAACCTGAGTACTCCATACTTTAAATCGCCATATGACACTCAAGGAATATTGACAGTTCCCGTGACAAGTTGTAGAACGTCTGCTCGAAAAGTAGATATAGGGAAAACGCATTCTTAAAGTAAATAAACTCATCATAGATACCAGGATATTAATTTTTTCAGCCAGACGCGCGTTTCGTCTACAAAAGTTTTTTTCCAAAAAAAAGCCGAGTTAATTGTTGAAGTCATATGAAGCAATATTTATTCAAAATATTCTGAAAGAGGAGGAAAAAAACATCCATCAATATAGTTTATTTCACTTTCAGATGTATTGATGTCACTAAATAATCTTTTTTTAATAAATGAGTTATGCCGTCTTATTTTATTCACAAGGACAACTGAACGACAATAATTTCAAATTTCCTATGGTTAACGTCTCATTTGAGTAGTGAAATATTTTCTTTTAATCCCAAATCAGTTTCCGTATCGCATTTACAAAATTCAACTGTTTGTTCTTATTATGGCGATGGGTATGCTCTTAACTAATGAAAAGTTCACCAGCAAGGTAAAAAAGTATATGGTCGCAAACATGAAAGCACTATAAAAAGTTAAATCACAAAAATACTGAACTCCGAGGAAAATTCAAAACGGAAAGTCCCTAATTAAATGGCAAAATCAAAAGCACAAACACATCAAACGAATGGTCAACAACTGTCATATTCCTGACTTGGTACAGGCATTTTCTTATGTAGAAAATGGTGGATTGAACCTGGTTTTATAGCGTTAAACCTCTCACTTGTATGACAGTCGCATCAAATTCCGTGATTCAAATGAATACATGTGTGAACTTTCATGGAAACAATCTCCTGAATCAAAGGACTCGCACTTACGACTTCATATCTATTTTTACAATCATATTTGATTTCACAATAGTATTTGATATTGGCTATTTAAACTTATTCTAAATATTTCGTTCATACATCTTAGATTATTTTGAACTGTAAAACATTTTTTTTAATAATTGAAGGTAGAAGATTCTACTGGAAGCAGGGATATGTCATTCCGATTCATAGGTGTACGTTGTGGAATCTCCTGCATGTGTCTTCTGTTAGGGCCTTTCATAGAACGCTTTTGGAATTTTCATAGATATCGAAACGGTGATATGTTCATGTTTGACTAGGACATCAAGGTGGTAAATGGTGTTGATCAGATAGAAGAAAATGAACAGCTGGACCTTAAAGAATGTCGTTCTAAAAACATTGACAAAGAATTCGAGGTAAATGAAATAGCTGAAGAAACTCAACAACTATATCCTTAATAGGATAATTGATGATACATTTAAATACTTGTATTTAAGAGAGAGAAAAATTTGAGTTACTTAGGAAAGCTTCTAGAAGAATTAACGAACATCTAAATATTGTCTTAAGCTTCAAGCCACATCAATGCGCAAAAATGTGTATCCACTATGTAAGGTAAAGAAATAACAACAATTGCTAAATGTTCAACTTGAAATATAACCACCGTAACTCATAGTCACATTGAACATTTTCATAATTGTGACAATCATCATTTCCACAAAGCATTTTTTAGTATTTCGACACAATTATCAATATGTTAGAAATAAGTGATTATTGGTAAGTAGGATTTAAATTTTCATGTGTTTTACTTGCTTTTAAATATTAAGGAAATAAATTTGCGGATTGCATATATACAACAAATAAAAAACAAACCTATAACGTCATTATTCTAATGACGAGAATCAATATATTATATATTTCCTGGTTTTATATTGCTTTAAATTGAATTAATTAAATTCATTCGTTTGATTATAATATACATAAGGTCAACCATTATTTATACACACAAGTCATGCACAAGTTTTGCCCTACCCACCATCTTTAAATGTAGAGGATGGTATGCAATTGCTCCCATGCCGACCTTGTCCGACGTCAATGTTAAAATGTAAATAAATGACAAACTACTATAGGAAGCTTATTCGTCTTCATTCAATACATTATCCAATCGCCTCTCTAAATTATTATTTCAGATAAAACGAAACATTTTAAACAACATTTTATTTCTTTCAAAAATATATAACACGTTTCTCTAACACAGTTTACAATAAAACCAAGATATAAAAAAAAGATAGCTTAACATAATAAAATGAGATTACATAAAGTATATATCATCCTAAAAATAAGAATAAAAAAAACTCATTACAAAATTCTGTCAAAAATCGTAAAACTGGATGTGTTGTTCTAACATATTCCATAAACAGGACAACTTGATTATGTTTTATTATGCATAAAATACAAATAATGATACTGTTAAACATACAAGGACTTTTCAATCAAAGAGTATAAAATATGATTTGGTTCAAGAAGGTAATATTTACAATTCCATTTTTTCTATCTAGAACAGTTCTTTGGTTTTTCAGGGTGCTTTTATCGTTTAATTCGTCAGACAACCCATTCTTCTCTTTGTCTTTTCATTGCTCCTCTTTCACTATTTACCTAATACAAGTCTACAAGTAACGCTTTACTACAGAATAGTAAACCTCATTAACTGTCACATATTTATTCTTAGTACAAAGGATAAAAAAGACCAAGACAGATGGAAACACCACAAACATATTATATAACAAAACAAGGAAATAAAAAAAAATTAAACAATTCAACATGTGAAATGTATGTTTGCTTCTTTCATCAACAGATTGCACTCAAGAGATTATATCCCTTTGAATTTACGGCAGGACGGTAGGAGGCAAATTTACAAATGAGCATGCAAGTCATAATTTGGCCTCTGAACATTCAAAAATAGTAAAATTCTTCAAACCTTTGAGTAAAACCTATGCGCATTTATAAATACTAAGGATAAGATCTCAATGAGGTCAATTGGCAGTTTTGCACTAAAGGCAAAAAGTTTAAAGTCCTACTGCCAATGTTTAAGGCAAAATTCTAAAATATAAATCCTAATGTTTGTCAGACTTATATCTTTTGAACATCTGAAGGATGTTATTCTATAGATTTAAAATGATTTTTGATGTTCGTATTCAATGGGCTAAAAATGGACTTCTTCATACCTATAATTTATGCTTGTTCTACATATAATTTCAATTCATTTAGTACCATTACTGCATATCATTTCTTTTTTCTTAGAAATGCAGAGGTATGTGTATTAACAACAAAATCAAATATATAAAACAATATCTAAATGTAAAAAAATGCGGTAACACAAGTAATAATTAACCTAAAAATATACACATAAAAATGAGGTCATTAAAAATTAAAAACCAAAACTTAATACTGACTGCAATGAGATTACATTTTGATCTTGCACATTTGATACACAGGGCAACTTTATAGTTGTCAATTATTTTATACATGAAATACAGATATAAAGTAAACAAGAAATGATTGTAACAGGATGCTGTGACGAAGTCTCCCAAACGAAGCTCCCATAATTCGAAATTCCAAGTGTCGCATGACATTGGACAAAGTCCAGTGAAAATTGGTTTGGTCCAGTAAAGTATATGCATTAGTGATGCCTGGGGACTAACCCAGTATATCATTCAAATCATCTTGGCATGACAAACCAGAATATATATGGTTTAGGGGTGGGGATCTCGACCATTTACAAGATACTAGAACATTGGGGGTGGGGGGAACCCCTGGGGACTGACCCTATACATCATTCAAATGTTCGGGACACGACGAACAGGAATATATATGGTTAAGGGGTGGGGATCTCGACCATTTACAAGATATTAGAACATTGGGGGTGGGGGAACCCCTGGGGACTGACCGTATACGTCATTCAAATGTTCGAGACATGATGAACAGGAATATATATGGTTTAGGGGTGGGGATCTCGACCATTTACAAGATATTAGAACTTTCTCAAATGGCAAGGGGTCGGGACTAACCCTGTATATCATTCAAACCATCTTGGTATGACAAACCAGAATATATATATGGTTTAGGGGTGGGGATCTTGACCACTTACAAGATATTAGAACTTTCTTAAATAGCAGGGGGTGGGGGTGACCCTTGGGGACTAGCCCTGTATATCATTAAAACCATCTTCGCATGACAAACTAGAATATATATGGTTTAGAGGTGGGGATCTTGACCACTTACAATATATTAGAACTTTCTTAAATGGCAGGGGGTGGGGGTGACCCATGGGGACTAACCCTGTATTTCATTTGATGTGCTTTATCATGACAAACCAGAATATATATGGTTTGGGGGTGGGGATCTCGACCATTTACAAGGGTCGGGATGACCCCTGGGGACTAACCTTGTATATCATTCAAACCATCATAGCATGACAAACCAGAATATATATGGTTTAGGGGTGGGGATCTTGACCACTTACAAGATATTAGAACTTTCTTAAATGGCAGGGGGTGGGGGTGACCCCTGGGACTAACCCTGTATTTCATTTGTTGTGCTTTATCATGACAAACCAGAATATATATATGGTTTAGGGGTGTGGATCTCGACCATTTACAAGATATTAGAACTTTCTCAAATGGCAGGGGGTCGGGATGACCCCTGGGGACTAACCCTGTATATCATTCAAACCATCTTAGCATGACAAAGCAGAATATATATGGTTTAGGGGTGGGGATCTCGACCATTTACAAGATATTAGAACTTTTTCAAATGGCAGGGGGTCGGGATGACCCCTGGAGACTAACCCTGTATATCATTCAAACCATCTTAGCATGACAAACCAGAATATATATGGTTTAGGGGTGGGGATCTCGACCATTTACAAGATATTAGAACTTTCTCAAATGGCAGGGGGTCGGGATGACCCCTGGGGACTAACCCTGTATATCATTCAAACCATCTTAGCATGACAAACCAGAATATATATGGTTTAGGGGTGGGGATCTCAACCATTTAAAAAATATTAGAACTTTCTTAAATGGCAGGGGGTGGGGGTGACCCCTGGGGACTAACCCTGTATTTCATTTAATGTGCTTTATCATTTAGAACATTTTCAATTAAAAAGATTGTGTCCATCACAAACGGTTTTCAATTTATAATCATTTGAAAATTTTTAAAAATAAAATCCCATAGGGTTCTATAGTAAAACCCTCCTTTCTTTTGCCCCTCAAAGTACCCCTTTATAAACCCCAATGCACAAACAAAACCCTGATTGCACCACAAGACATGTTAGTCTAGCATATTGTGAAACCCTAAGTTAATCTGACAAGCGGTTTTGGAGAACGCGTGCGGACAAGTTCAAATTTAAAAGCGGCGGAAGAAGAAGAAGAAGAAGAAGAAGAAGAAGAAGAAGAATAATAATAATAATAATAATAATAAGAACTGAGCAAAACCAATAAGTCTTCCCAAACGAACCAAACTTCGTTTGGGAGACTTAACAAGAACTTTTCAGTAAAAAGAATACAAATAAATGTTAACAGTTTACAGTAGAAAATTACAACTACAATTAAGTTATATATACACAATGACACACACCATGGATCCCTATCATTATACCATAAAAATAGGCATACTATAATTTCTGGTCTATATATATCTTATTTCAATTGTGTTAGAAACGGTCTCTATTGTAAAAGTAGCACGCATTAAAAAAAATGTAATCATTAAAATAACATTTTTTGAACAAAACAATTAACTGTTAATTTTTTTTATAGAAATAGAGATTTTCAAAGTAAAAAGCATTAGCGTAAATAAGAGGACAGTACATTCTAAATTGTAATATCGTTTCAACATTTAAAACGAATTTTGTTGATGTTTAATTACTAAATTAAGTTAATTCAACGACAATTTTCACTACAATTGCAACAATGGCAGATTTTTTATCTGTAACAAACAAAAATAAAAATCATGCAGAATCTTATCGCAGTAAATAGAAGTACATGAAGCTAAGCCACAATTGTAAAATATAAGTCAAATAACAAATTGAAAAGAATTAAATCAGAAAACGATTCAAGATTGTTTTCACATTGATTGCAGCCAGCAGATAAATTTGTAGTACTGGAATTCAAAAGAGTAAAAAGGGAAAACTCTCATGAAATAATGTATGATATTTCTGTTTGGCAATTTTTTCTGTTTTGATATTGCACTAAAATTCTCGGAAATGTTCATGTCCAAATCTTAACTAATACATGCATGTTTATACTTAAACCAAATCCATACCTTTTGAACGTATGAAAAATTGGTTAAGCGCTGTACTAGTTTTTTCCGTACACAATGCTTACAACTAAAGTTAAATTTAGTCTTATACAATGTATTTTCTCAGAACTAGGCCTATTTCATAAAAAGATTGTAAAAATGTAAGTTTTCATAAGCGAATTATTTTTTGAAAATTATGTTGTTTCATAATTTTGTCCTTTAAAAGTTATTTGTTCACTTTTTTATTTAATTGCCATACACTGCCACACACATTTCATACATACAATGTTTGGTAAAAGATACATTTTAAATTGGTATAAGATACTTATAATGAGACTTAGTACTTGTAAACACTTATTACACTTTCTAATATAGCAATGATGTAGGGTTTTGTTATAGCAAATGTATACACTTACTTTTAAGTAAATATTTTTAAAAGTGAAACATTATAGTTAATTTCAGGAACTGGACATAATGTTAATTTGCATTATACACATAAGTATGACCTTGTAGTATTAAATCGTCTAGGAAAAACAATGTCACTTTATTGGAGTAAAAAAGGCCTGAATTATATACCAAACAGATTAAGTAATCATGAATTCGCTCTCAGTATATGTCAAGATTTTTTTACACTGCATTACTTCGTCCTTATGAAATTGAAGCTGTTTTTGTTCATTTAAAATTCTTTTTATTTATCTTATTATAGGTACAGAAACATTGAGATATAAAGGGGCAATGTTGAGATTTTCAAAACACTTATTTTACTCTTCACCATGTTATAACATCTGCTTAATCAGGTACCCAATGTACCCAAGAATCACTGTCCTATATTCAGACCTAACTATCATTTTTTTTCTAAAAAGCCAGATGCTAAAGGAATGCATGTTGAAAAATGATTCATGATCTTCTATCACTATAACTTGTTCGATTGCACCTCTATAAAGATTTCATATATGAAAATACATTGATAACATATAAAAAACATCATGAATATACAAAGATATGAAACAGTATGAATATACAAAGATAACATATGAAACAGTATGAATATACATAGATAACATAGGAAAACAGTATTAAGTGTAAAGTCAAATGTAAGCATACATTTTAGTTCTAGATGAGAATAATCGTATAAATACACTTTTCCCATTGGAATTCCTGGAACTTTGAGACATCAAACTTACTTCCAACTTTCATAGAGTATTTAATCAAATACTGGACCTCAAATATATATTTACTTAATACTAGTAGATTATGGTTTCTCAGGATTTCCTAGAATAATCGACATCAAATGGAACTACATTTATACAATATATTTATATTTTGGATTTTCTTGATCAATTTGGATTCCTTTGATCACATAACATAGTAACTGATGTAACTGATATCATTATTTGTTGTTAGGGATCATCTCACTGTAACATACTCTCAAATACAAATTGCCCTATAATCAACTAACATTCCTGATCATACAAAGTGTCTGTCTTACTTTCATTCAATTCCATGGAGGTTTGACAAAGATATTGATGTTTAAAAAAAAATTAACCACAGACTTCACCTAAATGTAGAAGCCGCCGACGACGAAATGTAGAATCTCTATATCATGCTTCCTTGTAAATGCTACAGGCTCAACAGTAAACCATGAAAAAATTTGGAGATCAGCAGAAGTGTATCATGAATGCTTCCACTACTGTCAATAAACTTCTGTATTTTTTAATGCAATAATGAAGATATAACTGTAAAAAACAAAGTCCAGATTCAAAAAAAAAACCTTTCAAATTCTATAAAATTCAATTCACATTGAGCTAAACCATGAGGATTAACAATTTAATCAAAGGATACAATTTACAGATCTTAAAGATATTCCATCCCATTGTAATGAGATTATTTACAGATTTAACAAATTAATTCAAGTTGTAAACATTTTACATAATGGCTTTTTCAATATCACATCCATATCCCGAGACACATCTATAGTCCAGAGAACTCACCTCCACGGATTATATTGTTTGAGGGTTGATACCATGTATGATATCGATAAATTTATATCATCAACACTTAGTTATAAACTTAAAACAAATATTTATCACGTGATATGACATATACATATTTTGATACGTTTTGATATGTTGCCGTTTAAAGCACTTCAAATACACGATACCTTAATGTAAAAACTAATTACATATGGCCAGAATTGAGAATACTAGTAAATCGAAACATGAAGGTTAAGAGTAAAGGATTTTATGATCACTCTTTAAGAAGGACACTTTCTTCAACTTCTCCATTTACTTCTTCTACATGTTTAGTATCTTCAATAATAATAGTCCCAGTGTTTTGATGACAGCACCAACAACGTTCAATCATCGGACCAGTCGAACAAAACAAGAATGATAGAGCACTAAGCAAGCCAGTAAAACGAAATGACATGTTCCAACTCCCTGTAGCATCTTTCAACCAACCTACAATTCAAAATGTATTCTGTATTATTTCTCATGAGAACCTGAGATCACCCCCAGTTATTGGCGGAGTTCATGTTGTTCAATCTTAAAAAAGTTTTTTATGTTGTGTTTTGTTTACTGTTGTTTGTCTTTTGGTCGTTTTTCGTTTCTTATAATAGCATTGTCAGTTTGTTTTCGACTGATCAGTTTGAATATCCTTTTAGGTACCTTTCGTCTTTTCCAATATTTTAGTTGCTTACATTCTGTGTAACCTCATTTTCTGCATTCTTACATGTACGTGGTATTGTACGAAAATATGACAGTTATTTTTACATGTATCTGACTTTTGGTTTTGATTTGGTGAACTGATTTTCAAATATTTATCTCATTTGGCAAGATCAATATGTTGGAGTAGGTTTGTATTTTTAGATTTATAACTACTATAGCTCTTATAATATTCTATTACCTAAAAGTGCACACAAAGTTTTAGATTGTAATCTCTATTTAAATTTTGCATTTTACTACATCTCTTGATTTAACAATCTATAAATATTTCTTGAATTTGTCTTATAAAAAAATTACCTGTAATAGGTTGGCCGATTAAGATTGCAAAGGCACTTGCCATTGACAAAAGTCCAAATGCTGGAGAAAAATTATCAAGTCCTACACAATCAACCATCAAGACACCCATCAAGCTCCAAAAAGATCCAGAGAAGGTTCCCATAAGTACGGCATAACATAACACTGCTTCTTTGTATGGCAAATGCGGTATACAAAAAGCAATGATTGTACTAACAAACGTACACACCATAAATAAATGAGTACGAGTAATAATGTTCAAGTCAGCAAACCATCCTAAAAAAGCCCTGGCTACGATTTCAGATCCACCTAGTAAGGACACAGATAATGCTATTGTCTGTTTTCCAAATCCTAAAGATTGTATATGTCCAGGTAGTGCTACTAAGTTTCCTGCAAAATTAGCCGTTTGAAAAAAAATAGCACAGAACAGAATTGTATATTTGGGATTGTAAAACAGATCTAATTTGAAGATTCTTGTTTTGGCTTCATTAAAACATCCAGATGGTGTTTTTTCTGGTGTTTCAATCTTCTGAGGAGTAGCTAAAGCTATTTCTTCCTCTGTTGTTTGTTTCTTTTTCAATAACTGAGGCGGCTGTCGTAAAAATAAACTTGCAGCACACGTATGGAAAAAAACCGCTCCAATAATAAGCAAGGCACCATGAAGTCCATATTTATCAATCAAAAATCTATACATATACGGAAAAAAAAGACTTCCAAAACCACTAAAAGACACCATCAGTCCATTGGCTAAACTTCGTCTCTTTTTAAAATAAAAACTTATGATGGTAGTACAAGGAGCAAATATCAACCCGTAACCAGTACCTGTAGATTAAAAAAAAAAACATTTAATATGCTGATTACTATCTCCACCCTTTTATGTACAGTTTGCTTTTCACATATGATAAAGTGATTTATAAAACATAACCAGTTGGTCTTTGAATTTATGTACTAAGTTGCTATTCACTCACTTTTATTATACAGATTAAAAAAAGTACACTTTCCCATCTATCTCAAATTTTTGATGTAGAGTTTGTTTTTCAAATATGGGCTAGTGATTTAAACAAACTATACTCATAGTTCTTAACAATTGATATTTAAATTAAACTACAGAGCTGTTACTACAACACTTAAATTATGTGTAAGAAATCAATAAGTTAATTCAAATAATATAAGAAGAATATGTAATTTCACATATAATTTTACCTATTCCCATTTTTGAAATCAAAACCTGTAAAGGGTCATAATAATTTCTTACATCCACTTTATTTGAACTTTGGTAGAAAGTTGTCTCATTGGCAATCATACCTCATCTCCTTATTTTTATATAACTATGGAAGATTAAGGTGAAAATTGCAAAGGCAGAATGTAGACAAAGTCTAAATAAATGAAATGTAAGGTCTTGTGTTTTTTTTTATTTGCTTTAGCCAAATTTTCTTCCTAAGGAATCGAAAGAAGATAAAAAAAGAAAAAATGTCATGCAAATTGTAACAGGTATTTAACGTTGATATACAAGGATTTGATATTGATAACAAACCTGCAACAACTCCATAAGTCAAGTACAATATGTCCATCCTTGGAACAAAAGCACTGGCTGTATATCCAATTAAAACCAGCACACTTCCTATTGCCATCATTAACCGATATGTGTATCTTTCTCCAAGATAGTTGGAAAATGGTCCTACAAACACTTATTACAATAAACTATACATTTAATTAACTTAAGTTTCATCAGGGTGCATTTGCTGCATTTGCTTGCTTGACTGATTATGATTAAATGTATATTAAATGTTTTTGAGATCAACATGGGGTCATGATCTGAAGATTAAGATGGACATGTATGGTTTTACACTAGTCATTTTTGGGGCCCAATCATAGGTTGCTGTTCGATGTGAGCCAAGGATCCGTGTTGAAGGCCGTACTTTGACCTATAATGATTTACTTTTACAAATTGTGACTTGGATGGAGATTTGTCTCATTGGCACTCATACCACATCTTCTTATATCTATGTACACCGTAAAATCAGTTTTAATATCAAATACAGTTGATGTTTAGCTTGTAGTTATTGAGAAACCGACTTAATCATGAAAGTTTAAGGGTGAATGACAAAGCATTAAAATTATGTCAAGTTCAGATGAACCCTATAGTACACAATGATTTCCGTCTATCAACGGGTAGTATTTTTGAGGAGTCGGATGTTTGTAGTCGGTGTTGTCTGTGGTACTGCCCAATAGTTTTAGTAAATCTTGTTACTTAGTATCCTTTTTTACTTTATAACAAATAGTTGACATAAAACTTAAAGTTACCTTGAATCCTTTACCATAAACGCGTAACATGATCAATTAACCATGAAATGAGGTCAAGGTCTAATGAACCCTGGCAGACAGAGAGGTATACCTTTAGTTTAATAGTAGTACACGAGAAACAGACAATGACAAAATCTTATCATTGATAAATGAACCATGAACTTAGGTTTTGGGTTTGCTTTACATGTTCACTTTATTTTCATTTTTAAATTCAAATATAGTTGATATATAATGTGAAGTGACTGTGAAATTGTCCTAATTAAGAAAACTTACGTCGTCAAATAAACCAAGAAAATGAGGTTAAGGCAAGATGAATCATGTCAGATGTTTATTTACACTTTACAATCATTCTATACAACAAATATAATTGACCTATTACTTATGATAACTTACAAACAGTCCTTATAACGAAAACTGACAACTGAATCAGGATTTACGTATCATTATTTCCTAGTGTGAAGTATACATGTGGATTGTTCAAATATAAACCGTACGGTTAGAGTTGTTAACTTCTACGTCATTTGGTCTCTGGTGATGAGTTGTCTCATTGGCAATCATACCACATCTTCTTATTTTTATATGTGTTCATATATATATAGATTGCCTAACAATGTAATTTTAACACACTATGTAGTATGTAAATATAAGAATGTTTAAAATATTTACAAAATGATGAAAATAAACGCAATATTTCGCTAGACTAACTAGCTTTATCAAGCGTGCATCTATCCAGGTGAAATCGGATGTAGATGATAAGAAACTTTTGCAGCTCAATGTATATGTTGCACTTGAATTTAGCTGCCTTGAAAATAATACATAATTTGGATGAAGTTCAAGATTTTTACAAAATTGGTAGTTGAAGTTAGCAACGTCCATTGGCCAATATTACAGGATAAAAAGGGCGATGCTGTGTACTAAATTATTCTTTATCTTTCCTGTATCTTTGGCCAATATTACAGGATAAAAAGGGCGATGCTGTGTACTAAATTATTCTTTATCTTTCCTGTATCTTTTCTCATCTTTTTCGTTAAGATCATCAGGTTCTAAAGTGTGGAGTTGGTGGATCCAAAATTTTTCTCTTCTCCTTCTCGCCGTGGTGTCCCACTCGGTGTTGACTTCTATGATTTGGAAAGTAAAATTATCAAAAGAATGTTTCGTTGAACGAAGATGTCTTGTGAGAGGACAGTTTTTGTTGGTTTTGTACCATGAACGATGGTTATTGAGCCGAATATTAAATTTGTCCATTGTTTCTCCCACATACTGAATGCCACAAGTGTCACATGTTAATATATAAATTGAGTTCTCCGTTTTACAGTTGGAATTTGAGTAGATGGTATAATTTTGTTTAGTAACGGAACTGATGGAAGAACTGCTTGTATTGGCAGCTTTACAACACAAGCAGTTCCTTTCGACCACATTGTTTGTAGCAACCGGGAGATGGAGTAGGCTGCTTTGCTAATACAGATGTCACTAATTTGTCACGGATGTTTTTAGGTCTTCTGAAGGCCATGACTGGTGGTGAGGAAAATACTTTTTTAAGATTTGAATCATTTTCTATAATTTTCCAATGCTTCTGAACAATGGAAGACACATTTTTCAAATCAGGATGGTAAGTGAGTACAAGGGGTGTTCCGTTAGCTGCTTTATTTATATCTTTGTACTGTTGAAGTTCTTGGCGACTAGTTTTGTTTGCTCTTTCGAAAGCGCTATCAATGATGTTGTTATTGTATCCTCGAACAACTAGATGTTTACGTAGTTGTCCAAGTCTAGCATTTTGCGTATTTTCAGTAGAGCATATTCTCTTGATTCGCAATGCCTGGCTGAATGGGATGCCACGGGAGCAGTGTTTAGGATGGCAACTTTTAGGAGAAAGGAATTGATGTTTGTCCGTTTGTTTGGTATGAAGGTCCGTTATAATGGTTCCGTTCTTGATGTAACTCGTAGTGTCGAGGAAGTTTATTTTCTCCATAGATGATTCATATGTAAATTTTATTGAATGGTGGAAAGAGTTACAGTGTCCTAGAAATTCATTAAGATGTTCTTGTGAATCTGTCCATTTGAAGTCAATATCGTCAATGAAACGGAACCATGATAAAGGCTGGTATAGAGCACTAGCCAAGAGGCGTTTTTCAAGTTGGCCCATAAATATGTTGGCATATGACGGGGCCATTTTTGTGCCCATACTAGTACCGTCTATCTGGAGATAATGTTTTTCATTGAAAGAGAAGTTGTTGTTCTCTAGCACTAGTTTCAGAAGTGTAACAAGGCATTCAGTTGCAGGATTTTTTTCACTACGAGTGTTCCATACCTCTTCACACGCTGCTATTCCTTCGTCTTGTGGAATGTTGGTATATAAAGAAGACACGTCCATGGATGCAAGTATAGTATTGCTTGGTAGAGGATTGAGGTTTTCCATTTTCTTTAGATAATCAGTTGTATCTTGAATGTAAGAGGTAGTACTTTCACATGAGGTCTTAGATGATGGTCTACAAATTCTGATATCTTTTCAGTTGGATGACTATTTGCTGAAACAATTGGTCGACCTGGATTGCCCGTTGTATGTATTTTAGGCAACATATAGAATCGTCCGGCCTTTGCTTCGTTCTCAAGAGGTCGGAGATAATCAAAGGTGTCATTGCCTATATGCTTTTTGTCGTAAGATTTGAATTCCACCATAAACTTCCTTGATACATCTAGCACCCTCTCTGTAGGTATAATAAACACAGATATATACTCTAAACCTACAGATACTCATCAATACTTGTCGCCTGAAAGTTGCCATCCTCCACACTGCACGAAGAGCATTCTATACAGCCAAGCTCTCAGAATAAGGCGAATCTGCTCCTCTGAAGACACTGCAAAACAACGTCTGGGGCAGCTCAAAGGACATTTGAAAAGAAGGGGATATAAACACAAAAACATCAAAAATAGTTTTCGAAAAGCGGAATCCATCCCCAGAAGCAGTCTGCTAACTTACAAAGAAAAACAGAAAAGTAAAAGAATCCCATGTGTGCTCACCTACCATCCATGCCAGAGAAATAGTTTCAAGACCATTCGTGATCATTGGACACCAATCGAGAAACATTCTAAGTTATCCAAAATCTTTCCTGAGCCTCCCATGATTGCCTTCAAACAACCTAACAGCCTGAGAAATATACTTGTCCGTGCTGACCTTTCCAAACCTAACCATACTGTAGGTAAATGCCAGCCTTGTGGGGATAAGCGCTGCAAATGTTGCAACCAATTGCAGCATTCATCAACATTTCACAGTAAGACCACAGAAAAGACATACAAGATCTTCTGCAATGTCAACTGCAAAAGCTCAAACGTGATTTACGTTCTTGAGTGTCCTATATGTGGTCTCCAATATGTTGGTGATTCTATGCAGCCATTTCACAAACGCCTTAATGGCCACAGGAGTGACCTCACAAAAAAACCGTATATTCCTGTCAGCCAACACTTCAGGTTACCAGATCACAATCTGAAAGATTTTGATCTCATGAAGATCCTTGTGATCGAACAGGATTGCACATGGCAAAATAGGCAAAGAGAGAATCGGGAGAAGTTTTGGATAAAAACACTGGGTGTCCTCCATCCAGATGGAATCAATAGAAAGAAATAATTAAATTTACAGTCTAATGTTTATATTATGATATTCAGGATTTTGGATTAAAATCAATCGACCAAAACTTACCTGTATTATTATTGATCTATGTTTACACCTTATACATTATATATCAGTATTGTTAAAACTTTTAACACTGAGGAAGGCCATTTGTTGAGCCAAAATATTTGCAATTATTGTATAATTTATATCATCTGTTCAGTTTTTCCATCTTTGTGCGATGATATTCAACACTTTTTAGTGTTTTGTTTTCCATCTATTTATCGGTATTGTTACACAATCTTTTAGACTCATATAATTTTCCTTGTTTGTGTAGTATTGTCAATTTTGATGATCCAATACCTATTAAGTTTACTGGTTGGTAGATTCTTATAGACTCTATATATATATAGACTCTATATATATATATATAGGCTCGTCTGAACCAGTGACAACTCTAAACAAGCTCTCAGAATAACAGATTTATCCATCGGATCACCAGCAGTGATGGTGATACATGGCTGTGTACATTCTGTATATACAACTCGTCTAAACATCAGCTCAACAATGTTAGATCTGCAAATCTTTTGTTCTTCCCTCGCCGGAATCCCGGCGAGGGAAGAACAAAAAAAATTTGCGAAAGCAAATTTACAGATCTAAAATTGTTGGGCTGATGTTTAGACGAGTTGTATATATATATTTCTCTAATTCTTCGTCAATTTATCCCTTTCTGCACCCATTGTATAAAAAAATTTAATCAACGTGTGGTTCGTTTGATCTCAGTTCTTCATTGGTTAAAATCCGATTGTGACGTCGAATTTTCTTGCTTTCCTCTGAATTTCCTATTGTGACGGCATGAAAAAAGGCGACCATGCCTGATGACGTCACATAGAAAGAACACATCTTTTTGCAGATCATTCGAAAAGAAGGAATAAATTTGCCTGCGTATTGTTTGAAAATCATTAGAGAAAGAGATTCTACCACCAAATCTCGTGTAATACGATATTTATCCACTCTCGGCAGTTAAATTTTAAATATTTAAAACGCTCGGCGAGCCTCGCGTTTAAAATTTGAAAATTTAACTGTCTCGAGTGGATAAATATCGTATCACACTCGATGCAGTGGTAGAATCTATATATATATATGTTTGCGGTATACCATCTTTTCCGCAAGTTTATTGTTTTCTGTTTGGTAATAAATTAATAATTAGATCTATTTTGTTACATCTTGTGATCCGTTTATTTGGCAATCGCCAATGGCAGTCAGCAGGGTTTAAGAACATCAGTTGTTCGACCTGCTAGTCAAATGCGTTTTGTTAAAATATACTTTTTCACTTTTTTGGTCTTTAGGAAAATGTTGTTTGTGCTGTATTTAGACCCCTCTACCAAGAAATTTGTTTTGAATGCACGCGTATAAAAATTGCGGATTTTATCCAACGCAATCATAGGTTTGAACGTTGTTTTCAATTTAGACTTGTTTATATATATATATATATATATATATATATATATATATATATATATATATATATATATATATATATATACAAGTATAAATTGAAAACAACGTTCAAACCCATGATTGCGTTGGATAAAAACCGCAGTTTTTGTACTTGTGAATGCAAAACAAATTTCTTGTTAGAGGGATCTAAATACAGCACAAGCAACATTTTCCAAAAGACCAAAAAAGTGAAAAAGTATATTTTAACAAAACGCATTTGACTAACAGGTCGAACAACAAATGTTCTTAAACCCTGCTGACTGCCATTGGGGATTGCCAAATAAACGGATCACCGATGTAATAAGTGGATCTTAATTATAAATTTAATACTAAACAGAAAACAATAAACTTGCTATATATATATATATATATATATATATATATTCTGTCAAAAATTCGTTTGCCACCAACCGGTCTCTTCTTTGACTTTATGGGCCATCTTGCCTCTCTTAAAGGCCTTGATGACTGATTCATTTCAGGCTAAATCAAATTGAATGAATAATTCAAACTCATATGATATGCTGTTATTGTCATGTAACACAACAATACTTACCTAATCCCATGAAAAGCAACAAGCATACACTTGATATCCATGCTGTGTTACCGGCACCAGCTTCATAGTATTCTAACAACTCCGTGTATAACACACCAAAGGATTTAACACCTCCAGCGATGATTAAGTATATTATACCACAAACTATAGATAAAATATCATTAAATAAGTACTTCTGAAGGTACACAGACTGAGTAAAATTGGTCTAACTCGTTCTTGTGGTTTAGAAAATATACATTTAATCTCATATACGAGATCGTCAATTTAAATTGCACTAGACTATACTTGTCATCACAATGTTAAAGTTTCGAAGGAATGTAAGAATCTCACCGAAGTCTAGTTAAACAATTTATGGGTGTTTATACCCATTAGCGAAGGTAACATTCATAACTAAGACAATGACATGCTAAAGTCATATGAACATACATGTTCTAGTAGAGGTAACAGTAGTTTATCGAGGTTCAAATTTCATAAATCCACCAAGAAGATAAAAGCAAGGTAAAAAGATTAAAAAAAAAACTAAAGGAATAACATGAACTCCTATAGGAGCGAGACTGGGTGCTTCGACAGGACAATCCACTCTTAGTCAACATGTCACAATCGATAAATTAAGAGATCAGACGACCCTTCATGGTATTGAATTTTCAATAAAAAAAATTTATATCGTGTTATTTTTATTTTTTTTGTGACACATCATTTCCAACCAACTCTGGAGGTGACCGTAAAACTTATGAAGTGTCAATTTCAGCTGTTCTTCTTTATAACATTGTTGGAGCAGTTTTCGTGTCAAGAGTACATACTTTATGAAGTCCGCATAGTGTTAACACGAGTGTAAGGTATCAATTGAGATACGTCATACGATTGGGAAGAGGATATATTACTGCTTAGAAATGGAAAGTTCATAATTGGAAAGTTGAAATCATCACTTCCATAGATTCTAGTCTGAAGTCGTCCAACAGTATTAATATCAAGGAAAAGTTCAGTATATGAAAATGGTATAGAATCGTTAGTATCCTCAATCTCAAGTTCATTAGGATATATGAGATGCAATCATTCACTGAAATGTGGGTTATTGAGTGACAGGATATCCACAATACATTTGAAAGTGAAATAACAGAACATTGCAGGAAATTTTCGTTTTATTCTTTGAGAACGGTCTGTATGAATTCTGCTTCAACTGAATACAAAAAGTAGACCAGTAGATACGTACAATTAGTATCAATGATAATACCGACTGTCTGTTCAAATGTCAATCCACCTTTCAACAAATATTTTGTCAATAAAAAATTCAAGCATTTTGATGATATCATCTTCGGTGTATTTGTTATTGGAATCAGTGTGGTTCTTCACAAAGTAATACTTTTCATGACTTAAAAAAGGAATTTAAATCTTCTTTCCCCATTATTTTTTTTCTTTTTTTTTTTTTAATTGGTTTAAAAGAAAAACTGATTAATGAGTAGATGAAGTAGATCATTCAGTTTAGCATGTGGAATTGACATACACGCTGGGTTTCACTTTAATGAGCTTCTTCAAATGCTAGCAATCCATATGATACCCGGTATCTGAGACTACTATAACACAGAGATTGGTCACTCGCGATTTTGCCATAAAACTGTGTCTACTGCTTATTATTCTCTTTAACATGAAATAAAACAAAATGAAAATAGTTTTTATCTATTAATTGCAATTATCACTATTTATTTTTAAAAAAACATTTTTTAATCATTATTAGTTTTTTTTTTTTTCGTTATGCGACTCCTGAAAATGTGAATGAATCTAAATGTGTATAGATTAATTTCATTAATCTTGCATTATGTTTAACTGACAATTGAAATTTTACAAATGGGTGAAAGAGGTCCTTTAATTGTATCTAATATACAAATATTTCACCTGTGAGGACAGGTAATTTCGAAATCATGGGAGATGAATTTTGATTTCACAGCTGGGTGCCCAAGATACACGAAGGCTCCGTTTATTGTAGAAAACCTTGTCAAATATCGTCGGTGCACTTGTGGATTCGCTGTGAATATGATTAAGATACACACTGTTGCTGATTATAAATATCTCATCACCTGAATTTTTTCTTTTAAATTTTTTGGCTTTTAATCAATGATTGTTTCAATTTAAATAGATTTTTAACAAAAATGAAAAAAAAGGTTTGATCATGCAGTAATTGCCGATTTCGTTTTATTTTTGAATGTTTATTACCTATCCCAAAAAGAAAGATTTGTAGTGTATAAGATTTGGTAATAATGCGAGAATCTCAAAGGTATAGAAATGTGACAAAATTAGATCCAAAGTTTTCCCAATGTGATTTTTATTTGTTAACCAATTCTTTCTGAGCTTCCGTTTTTTAAAGGAATAATTTAATGAGGATGTTTTTTTGGTATGATAATCAATATATATATTGCCGCGATCGTGGCAATACCTATTCTTCAGTTTCCGTGGTCATTTAAGAACAAAGCAATGCCCAATCAAGAAAAAAATTTTGTGTCAACATTTGTGACATGAAATCTATTTTGAGAACCACTGTTTCGATCTATTCAATTAAAAAGTCCGTTTTTGAAGAAATATCAAATTTTCAATTTCAAGCCAGAAATGAGTCACAAATGGATTAAACGTGAATTAAAACTAAATTCCCTTTTAAACGACAAATTGGTATTTCACATGATTACAAATTTAACATCACCGTATAAGATTATCATTATAGACTGCATAAGTATTATCCAGGAAACCAAATATTAGTCTGAATTTTTTCCATTTAAATACAAATTGACCTGCAAGACCTCATGTTCTAAAATATGCACCTTGGCTGGTGTACGTTTACTTCAGGGGAACTCTAATGTAGACAAAATGGTGTTTCATATAATAACAAATGTTACATCACTGCATAGCATTAATAATAAAGAATGCAGTAATATTATCCGGAAAACAAATTGTTCATCTGAATTTAACCCATTAGCAATACAAATCTAATAAGCAACCTATGCAAAAGTTTCAGAATCAACTGACCATGAATAAAGGGCGGGGGGGGGGGGGGGGGGGTTGGGGGGGGGGGGGGGAGGGACTAAATAATATCCCTGTTGAACTGAGATGTGCCAACGGTAATACAACTGCATACCAAATATCATTGACTACATATTGGTGGTTACACTTAAACTGACCTTACACAATCCGTAACAAATTGTTAACATCGCCGACGGAAACATCCCGTCTGTCTCGCTTCCAAGACAAAAATGTTGAAATCAGGAGTGGATAGACATTACAGGACAAAGTGTCTAATCAATCTTGTAACTTCACTTAATGATCTATAAAAAGTCTTAACATTGTTATGTCTCACCTTATTTAAAGCTAGATTTTTTTAAAAAAAACATGAATGTAAGATACTACAGAAGTCGCTGGAGCATGATTAAATCTTTCGCAAGTAAATGTTTAGGTAGAAAACTGGGAACAGTATATCTAACTATATAATCAATATATATGTTCCTGGTAGAAAATGTATAGCTTACCAATTTGAACCTGTCAGGATTAACGGAAAGAAAACAACAGTATACGGATGAACGGCGATATTGACAACATTTTCAATTATGCGGAAAAAAAATATGTTATCGAATGTTATCAAATTTTTATTTTCCTTCTGTTCCTCCTACAAAAAATACTGGAAAAATGACCTCACAATGTACTACATTTACATGCAGTTATCAAGATCCTGATGTACAAACGGTATAACCTACATTTTCAAATAAACATAACGGTAAGGTGCAGTGGGGGAGAAACACAAAAAACATTTTTCAAAATGTTTTTATATAAAAAAAATTGAATACGTGGACGGGAAGAAAATAAAAGAAGAATGTGTCCATGGGACACATATGTCCCTGCTTGTAAATATGTAAAAGTCAATGTACTAACTCAAACCTATTGACATTTTGTCTTCCTTGATGACATTTAATTCTGTATGTTGAAATTAGAGATAGAGTGCGCTAATTATTTAATAACAAAGAGTAATGAGGTTTCTCAAGAACAGTGAAAGTGACGACATCCTAATTCGAACTTGATCAGTGTTTTGGGGTAATAAGCATTGTGTAAAAATTGTGTCCAATTTTCGCCGCGCTTCATCCCGGACAGCCTCTATTACTGGACCTACCTATTGTATTTATTGTTTCTTTGTTCTCGTCCTGAACATGCATGACATATTTGCCACTGGAAGTTAAGTCACCAACTATCAATCAATTAATCCGTTATATAAATAAATGAATTGTATTTGAAAGACAATACATAGCTTTACAAGCAACGGAACGAACTTGGCGAGGTTGTAAACAAATTAACCAGATGAGACTCCAGAAAAATGAAACATGTTTCAATCTTATAACTTTAGTATGTCCAGTTCTCGTTATCTTCTGATACTTTAATATGGGTCTTCAGTCTATCCTTTGGTGACACCACCTGATACTTGAATTGTATAACAGAATGTAAATTATGTAAATTTTAGTAAAGATTAAAAAAGCAAACTTGAAAATGACCCAGGTGTGAATGAATTGCAGAAGCAATAGACCCTACCACTTTGATGTTCTAAAAATTAACTATATACAACTGCATATTGAAGTTAAAAATTAGACGCAAAAAAATAAACAAATTATATATAGTACAGCAATAGGATACACTTCTTAACTTTAAGTGTTTATTTTTTTATATAAATACCGACAGTCCCGGTTTATGTTTTTCAAGAATATATCACCTTACTATAAAAAAAACACTTACATATTAAAACAACCCACGAGTATCCCCGGTCAACATCCGTGTTCTTCATAGTCACACAATTATTTATTCCATGGTTTTACTGACCATGTACAATCTGAAAACATAAAAGCGATATGTTGGTTCATATTAACATATGAATTAAAACATCAAGCACTTTTTGACATGAACATCAATGTTCTAAATATTGACACTAAAAAAATTAATACATACATTTTTACTGCTGTTGTCTGTTCTATGGTCGGGTTGTTGTCTCTTTGACACATTCCCCATTTCCATTCTCAATTTTTTTTTTTTCATTTTTAGCAAACATGACGTAGTAGAATATTCACTCATTTCCTGTATGAAATTACTTGATAATTGGATGGAATATGTTCCGGAACATTTCAGTCAAGAAAATCAATTTTGCTGTAATATAGTATTTTTAAGAAAATCTAAGGTTAAAGTATACAGACCACTAAACATGTTATTTTAAGGAGAATTATGTAACTAATTAAAAGCTTAAATACAAACGATCACCATGATTAGTAATGTGATCATCAGCAAAACTATATAAAGTCATTTTAATTAAAAGAAAATAATACAGGTCTCCTATATTTAGGTCTATTTGTGTTTCTAAAACTTCTTTAAAAATACTTAGATTTTACAGTAATGATCCTTTATTTGGGTACATTAGGGAGACTTCGTCAGGTAAACGTAAATGTGATTCCTTTAGGAACAAGCATGCCAAATATGCATCAAATGAGTCAATTGAACGTGCAACTTTTTGGTTATGCAACTTTCAGATGCACGGGTGTCATTCGGGTTATCGAGCGAATTGATCGTGAAAGAATAACTAACGGTGGTCAAGCATTGCGATCAGATCGTGAAAGATCTGGTATCGGATCGTGAATGCAGTTAAGTGTAATTCTACTTCGAAATCTATGAAACAATCTGCTGTAGTTTCAAAAGGTGGAACAAATTAGAAAAAAAAATATGTCTGTCAAAATGATTCAACTTCCATAATAAAACTGTGCACTGAATAAATAAAATAAATTGCTTCGCCGAGCGCAGCTGGATACGACCGCAGAGGTCCAACCCTGAACAGTTGGGACAAAAATGGACACAATATTCGCGCTTGATACAGATCTGAATTTGGATTGTTATTCAATATTTGACACATAATAGGTTTCTGACACAGAATAACTGTACTCAAAGAACTTAGAAATGGTTATATGATTTGAGTTTATATTCATTTTTTTGCTTTTGTGCAATACACTTTGCTGTTGCGAATTGACCCCTCCCCCCCCCCCCCAAAAAAAAAAATTTACCCCCCCCTTTTTTTTTGCTTTTGTGCAAAAAACTAAGCTGTTGCGAATTGACCTCCAACCCTCAAAAAAATTTACCCCCCCCCCCCCCCTCCCCCCTTCTTTTTCAAAAAACTTTGTTTTACCCCCGTCTTTTTTTTTCTCAAAATAATATTTGAAGAAATTTTCTTTTTTGATTTCTGAAATCTTGAGAAAAAAATGTCCCCCCGCACCACCACCACCATTTTTTTTAAAACTTAATCTTTATATGTCAGATAGTCCATTAAAATATATTTATGTTATCACTTGAAAAAGTTCATATTATTTTTGCAAAAGTTTATTTTTGTTGATTTTTTATCAAAATTGATCGTGAAAGATCATTCAACGCATTATTTGGATCGCGAAAGACAAGGTGTGACCAAACTTAATGATCAGAAAACAGCGTTTGTTTACCAATTGATATACTTGTAATTGGTTGAAGTGTGTAATTACTTTTAAGAACGTAAATCATTGCTTTAATTTTTGTTGGTGATATATGTATATTTACCCATATGTAGACCTGTTTTCATTTGAAATTTCATGAGGCAATGCTACGCGTAACTAGGCATCCAAGATAAGACCTACATCAGCTTAAATGGCGATGGTCATTATTGTATATACATAATGCTGCATCTACAAACGAAGGAAGCGAGAGGGGGTCTGGTGGTTTTCCCCCGGAAATGTCTTAATGTGTGCTTTTTTGTTTTCGAAAGGGTAATGGTTATGCATAAGTCCACTCTGTGTTTTTGTTACTTGTTTTTGCTTTGTATCGATCTGATGAGTTAAGCCCTTTCCAACTGAATTTTATAGTTTGTTCGATTGTTGTTCTGTTACACCACTGTCCCAGGTTAGAAAGAGGGTCGCTAACAAGTTTAACCCCGCCACATTATGTAGGTGCTTGGACCAATTCAGGAGTCTGTATTCAGTGGTTGTCGTTTGTTGGTGTATATCATATTTTTTTTTCGTTCATTGTACATAAATCAGGTCGTTAGCTTTCTCGTTTGAATTGTTTTACATATGTCATTTCCTGGCCTTTTATAGCTGTATGGGTTTTACTCATTGTTGAAGGTCATACGATGATCTATAAATGTTAAATCCTGTGTCATTTGGTCTCTTGTGCAAAGTTATCGGAAATCATACCGCATCTTCTTAATTTTATATTATATCAAATAAGCTTTATCGTCTAATTTTACACAAAGGTGTATTGAAGATTTTCTTTCCTTTAACAATACGAACTTTTCTCATTTGGTCCCATTAATAGTCTACAGCGGTCATCTTTTAATACCAGTGTCTATGACAAACGAATTGATTTCAATTTTGAAATTATAAAATTTCCTTACCTTCGCAGCGATTTGCCAACTTCATTCGCCTATGAAGTATACATTTCTGAACTCATACGATTTTCAAGAGATTGCAGCTGATATTCAGATCTAGTTTGTGAAACGTTATCAGTGCCTGCGCAAACAATTAATGAACTAGGGTTTAAGGTGTTAACTCTGTGAAGCATTTTATCTACCTTACTGTTTTATCTTTATTTGCCTTTGTACTACTATAGTAGTATGTTCCATTTGATCGTATGCCTCTTGTCGTGGTTCGGTATATGTGCATCCAGCTTTCAAATTTTTGACCTTTAGCGTTCTTTATGTGGGTTGGTCAAGAGACGCGATAATGACCCATGAGGATTGTTATAACGTAGTTTCATTTTGTATACCCTTATACTTATATTTTAATTTTTATGAATTTTATCGGGTTAGTGTATATGTCATTATGAGAGGCGACCCTTACGGAGCCCCTTAAGAGCCAAGTTTGCCGGACATTTAAGCCGGTGCTCACTAGTTTGAAAAGTCGTGCACACGACATCTAAAAACTGGTGCGCATAACTTTCAAAAGCTGGTGCGCTCGACTTTTAAACTGGTGCACACGAGTTTGAAAGTGTCAAAGTCATGCGCACCAGATCTTGTAGGCCGTGAACACCATTTTTGACAGTCGTGAGCACGTGTTTGAAAGTCATGCGCGCCAGTTTGAAAGTCATGCACACAAGTTCGAAAGTCGTGCGCACGAGTTTTCAAACTGGTGCGTGCAAGATTTAATATCCGGCAAACGAACTGGCTGGCGTATTTGTTTGATTCGATTGTAAGTGTGTTTGTCGGTGTGAGCCAATGCTCCGTGTTGAAGGCCGTACTTTGACCTATCATGGTTTACTTTAACAAATTGTGACTTAGATGGAGAGTTGTCTCATTGGCACTCATACCACATCTTCTGATATCTATGGAACGTTAAATTAAGCTGTATGTCTGTGATGTATGCAACTGGAAGCCAGATATGATCACGCAAACCAATTACTAGTAATTCTGTTAGTGTTGCTCCCCTAATTTGGCAATATTACGGAACATTAAACAACTGTCATACAAGTGGGCGTATAAGCAAGCAAGACAACCAGATTTAACCCATTACTAGTATTTGCTTAGGAAAATGCCTGTGCCAAGTCAGGAATATGACTGTGGTTTTTCTGCTCTTTTGTTTTATACAATATTTTTTCCCCAATTTTTACAAAAATCAGAAAGGATCTTCGTATTACAGATATGACTATGCATAAAAATTAAAGGGCATCAGATGAGACAATCTTAACTTTTCAAACAAAATAAAACTTATGCAGGACGGACAGACACCCTTATATTGTAATAAGAAAACTAGTCGGTGTTATATTATCAAAAAATCAAATCCAATGGCATTGAAACATTATAGACCTATTCACAAACAAAAGTGAAGCGGAATAAGTCATGTAAATCCAATATGTTGATATACCGATCACAAGCATAAATAATCAGTTGTTTAAAGGAAGATTCTAGCGTTTTCTTGGATTTGTTTGCAATAGCGTATAAGCTGCAACAGATCTTTCACGATCCTTTTCGCGATCATCCAAATGCGGTACCCGATCTTTCACGATCTGTAATATCGATTTTTTACAAATATTACGTTTTTGCAAAGTTTCTGAATAATCTAAATCAAAATAAGTTTAAGAACTATTTCAAACAGTAATATTGAACAATATTTCTATGCATTAAAAATTTGAAAAAAAATCATGTTTGTTTACATTTTTATTTCTCTGAAATTTCGAAGAGCAATCTGCCTTTTGTAGTTTTGTATACGGTGTATATTTAAGTCTTGATTTTTCTCGGATACTAATCAGAATGTTGAGCCATTTTGACAGACAGTTTTGTTTTTCCATATTTTTTTTATAATAATTGATTAAATAAGATTATTTACTGACGGAGCATGTGTCTTCTCGATAATATTTCATTCACGATCCTATACCAGATCTTTCACGATCTGATCGCAATGCTTGACCACCGTTAGTATTCTTTCACGATCATTTCTCTCAATAGAGGTTTTCCGATTTGCTACGTATCAGGTACGGTTGGTACGTAACTCAACCGTTCCTGTTGTTTTGGAAGTATCGTTTAATGCAGGAGAAATTTTTATCCATCATGATGAAATTAAAGAAATCGAATTGCATATCGGCAAAAACTACCATAACGTTTTATTTGATAACGATTTCACCGTTTTCTAGAACGCTTTGTTAGTGAATCAATATGAGATAACTTCAGTAAGTGCACACGTGAATGAATCAAACAGACCTTACATGAACTGTGTTGACACGACCTTTAGATTCTAAATATAGATTTGTGTTTCTGTCTGATTTGGGTATTAATTTTGGTTTGTTTATTTATAGAAAAAAAGATAGGACTTGATTTTTCTCATGTTTAAACAGAATTTGGAATATTTAAAATACTATCTATGAATGACTTTCATAATCACGTCGTGTTAATGATGTTGGT